CAAAAAAGTCCAATTTTGTCTTTTCTTAAGGTGTTAGATCACGTTTTATATTTCAGATTATAATCCGTGGTACAGAACCCTTTTTATCGATTTATTAGCATCCCCCCGAAACTTCGTAAATAGTTTCATCTCACCATAACCTGCAGCTAATTTATTTACGAAAACTCTTGGAATTGGGACATTTTCAATCTAGAGGAGGGCAAACTTTGTCTATTTAATTAGATACTAAAAACTCGTAATTACTCATTTGCTTTCTACTTCACTTTGATCACAATTTGATAATTTGATCACAAAATCGAGAAAAAAGGTGGCTTTCAAGAATATTGAGCCGTTTGCCGTGACTTACACCCCCAAATTTTCAAAATAACGTGGTTATATAGGACAAACGGCCCAATATTTCTGTAGGCCACCTTTTTTCTCGATTTTGTGATCGAATCACCTTACTATCCAAGTAGAAAGCAAATGAGTATTTACGAGTTTTTAGTACCTAATTAAATAGACAAAGTTTGCCACTCTCCAGATTAAAAACGCCTCAATTCCAAGAATTTTTGAAAATACAATAGTTGTAGGTTACGATGACATGGAACTATTTACGAAGTTTCAAATGGATGTTAATAATTCGATAAAAAGGGTTATGAACCACGGACTACCAAGCGATAATACAAAAAGTATATAATTCAGGTAATTAAAAATTGCTTCATAGTAAACTAGACAAAATTTTCATCTAATACAAGTAGAGCTTGTCTTTATCAAAACCATTCAAAGGGAATACTGCGCGGCCAAACAAAGTTCATTATAGTAAACCTTACAATGGGAAATATCAGTTAATAACTAACAGGCTTACAATCCATAATCATTTATAAGTTGAATGTAGAGATATACTTTCAAATCTCTATAGGCGTATATATATATATATATACATAGCTCAGAGATTGGAGGTATGTGGTTTGCAAAAACAGATGGAGTAACAAGGTTTTTATTGCCTACCATTAATATAATTGATAAAATTTTTGTAATTTTAATGGTCTTAATGATTTGTTAGCGGCAAGCTTTAAGCTGCAGCTCCGTTAAAAATTCATAACAAACATTTTATAATTGCCCAACATGGCCAGAATATAATTTCTATTCAAAGCAGAGCGGTAAGTTATTTATTGGGCGCACAACAATTTTTTTAAAAATATTATGAAATCTTACAATTATGAAATAAAATATTCCGTTTCTTGTATTTTATTTTCATATAAACGTGAATATTAGGATTAAAAACATTGATTAGTTTCTCTTCTCTTTTTTTACGGTTTATTTAAAAAAGTACTCAACTATGACGAATTTAGATTTCGCATATTGCTATTGGATAAGTACAATGTTGATGTTAAACAATTGGTTCCTTCCGTGGGTTCAAAGACTTTGTTGAAAAAAGTAATGATGAATTCAGAATTTTATGTGAATAACTCAGAAAGTGAATACCGCAAGGATCAATTCCCGCAATATGTATCTGTTCTATATACAACGCTATATTATCACATTAGATAATACATGTTTGAAAAAGTTGTATTCTTTTTAATGAATAAGAAGTGTATTTTCATAAATAATTTATTAAATTACACAAGAAAAAGAAGGAATTGAAAATTTTCAATAATTTCTCGATTATTATTTTTGCTGAAAATACAGAAACTACTGAGAGACAGAATTTAAATCACATAATTTTTCACACAAAGTAAGGTGAACCTCAGGAATGTCCAAAAGAGAGTTTCATGGCACAAGTAGCACAATCAAAATTTTTGAGGGGGCGCATCTCGACGGGATTATAAATTAGAATAAAAGTTTCAAACCAGAGTACAAGAGGAAGGCATGTAAAAGAACACGTGAAGTGTAATTGTATATGATCTATAATTTTTAAACGCTACTTTAAACTGCACTATTTATAAAAAGAGGATAGCAATAAAATATCTTGTGAGGATGGAGTAGGTTCTTGCCGCATAGAAATTAAGGGTATAGGTATCCCTGGTGAATGTCAACTCTGTTGTAAACTAAACCTCAAATCTGTTGAAATGAAATTAAAGTTTATCAAACAAGAAAATTGTTCATAAATGTGGGATGTTGTAGAATGATAAAAAAAAAAAACAAATAAAAAACAATCCATGATTTAATGAAGAACACAACTAAGCATAGTTTGACCGCTTCAAAATCCTTTTTAAATGGTTTTGACAAAGACAAACTCTACTTATATTTGGTTTTTCCCAAAATCGATTCTAGTATTATACTTTGGAAGGCCAAGAGCAAGACCGCCTAATTGTTGCAAGACCAAGACAGATCATAAAAGAAAAGAATAATTTTTTTTTCTCCCCTTCCTCGCTTTTTAGGCTATACAGGGATTTTCCCGGGTCGGGCCAGAAGGCGGGGGATTAACGCCAGAGTTAAAAGTCACTCCGGCATGGGGATGCGAGCTTGTAATTATTTTAGTATATTAGTATCTGTTGATCTGGATTCCTGGCGGTGATGTGCACACGCGTTAGCTCGCTCGGCCACCCCGCCTCCTACAATTTTAGTTACTAAATGTAAAGATTTGGTAGAACCAAAATATTTTTGCATTTAACTCTTCCATTTTTTTCATTTGGGGTTTAGTTAAGTTAAAAACTTAGAGAGCTTCATCCTTAAGCGAAAATATTTATTAAAGTAGTATAAAGTATTTGGAATCCATAACATCTCCCTTAATTTATTTATCAGATTGTTTTTGCAGGCCGCGATACAAGTTGAGTTATAGTTCGTTGTACAGACACTTACTTATCAAAATACATTCGCCCAAAACTTCGTGAATAGCTTCACCTCATCGTAACCTACAACTTTTTATTTTCGTAAATTTTTAGAATTGGACATCACCATTTACAAAGTTTTAGGGGAATGATAATAATTTAATTTTGATAATAATAATATTATATATTTACCTAGTACAGTTCAGGCAATTGAGTTCAGTGTAGCCATCTAAATCCTCCAGCTCTCTTATCTTCCGGACTAATAAATATTCTATACAATACTTCATTTTGGGAAAAGCCTTAGGCGTTATTTATTTCTTAGTCATTCCTTGTTCCTTAATGATTTGAATCTTAGACCTCAAGATATAAGTAGATCCGTCGGCATTTTATTATAAAATTTTAATTACTTTTTAGCTCTATTTCATAAAATGATTTTACCATTTCCATTCCTCCAGTTTTTATTAAATGAAAATTTATATCTTCAATACAAGCGAAATAATTTCAAAAAAGAACAAATTGCGTTTGAATGAAAGAAAAATGAAAGGTCTTTTATTAAACTTGAGGATCTTTTTTAAAAAACATTCAAACAGAACTGAGACAAAAGAATAATTAATTGCTAATATAAAAAATTAATTCATGCAAATTCTAATGAGGAAATTCCGAATAAAGAATTTTTATTTATTTTTTTTCATTTCAACAGAAATGAATTCATTACACGTGGCTTTCATTAATTTTATGTTTTTGAAAATTTTAATTTAATTTTGTTGTCATTCTAAGAAACTAAGCAAATAATCTATATTAAACATGGATAAAGCTGTCATATTTAAGAACATACCATCGGTTTATGGTAAAAATTTATTAAATGTCATTGCATAAACTTAAATTATAAACTATTCCACTGTGAAATTAGAAAATTGTGGACTCTTTTTTTACTAAATTTGATATGTAAAACGGTTGGTGTCATTTCAGTGCATTTACTTCGTTCATAGATAAATAAGGTCGAAATTCATAAAAACGTCCCTGAGAGTTCGAGATACTCACTTAGTCCACAAAGTAATATACTTTCAGTAAGTTTATAAATGGTTTATTTATTGTAAATATTTCGAGATTTATCCACGTTATCCTCTACAAAATAAATCTCCAAGCTGAGAGGCACAAAAAATGAAAATAAACATGTAAATGAACGTATAAATCGATAAATACATGTACGACTATGTGTATGTGTTGCAGGAGATGAAATGTTGATAAAACGACATCATTGCTCGAATAATTTTGGCTTTGAGCACTTTAATGATACGTAAATTGACAATAAATGTATTGTCTTTTTTATTTTTATTTTTACCAACAGAACAGTTGATAATGGATCTGAGGATAAAGAGGGCTAGAAATAATAAAATGAAAGGTAATGAAATTTGAAGGAAGAAGTTTATTTTATTTAATTTATTATTTATTTAAGAAATTTATCGATGTTAAACAGATATAATTATTGTATTTCATATATAATCTTTTGCCGTCTTTGCAAGCCTACTCCGTAAAATATTAATAAAATTTTATATTACATAAAAATGATATTTGTTAATACATTGTGAATAACATGGAAAATCAAAAAATACAAGAACCAATATATTTTTATTTTTTATTTTTCTTAAATACAGAGAGGAGAAAAAAAAGTATTTGAATGAATGTTTTTTTTAACTGGAATTAATTTTATAAAATACAAAACATAACTAAATTTTCTTTTCCTAAGTAATTAAAAGATTTTCTTCATATAAAGCCTACCTTAATTTTAAATTTGAATGTTGAAAACAATCATAATAGTCGGTCTAAATTGAAGCTATGTTACAAAAATTGGCTTTTTCTCGACTTTTTTAAAATGACAGATGTCTGTCAGGCCACTCATAAATCTCATGGAACATACCAGATGTTCGTTTGAAAAGAAATTCTAATAGTATATAAATAAATAGCTAAACATAAGGGGGAAATCTTAATCTTATGTATACATAATATTTGTGAACAGTTTTATATTTACCTTTCCGTGAAAGTGGAAAGTAAAATCGAATGGTATGGCATAGCAATTATGTTTTATATATACATACTTAAAAAAAATTATATTTCCATTTTTAAAAATAATAAACCATTGTGTAGTAATTTTCAGCGTTTTAATATATAAAATAAACTTAGATTTCATTTAATCATAAAAATATTGGTACAACTGTTTTCACGTGACAGCAGCTATGTTCAAGGTAGGTAGCTTTCAGGTTATACAGGTGCCTTAAGGTAACCTGGCTTTGTTTACATGGAAACCCGAATAAATTTGGGTGATCCAAATAATGGCCAAAATTTAGTGACGGTTCAAAAGAAACAAACTGTCGAAGTTCTATATGTAGATATCACGAACTATAACCCGAAAGTGCAATTTATCATATGTTGTTCTGCAGTTTTTGTCATATTTTTACTTTATGGATATTTACAAGTAAGATATATAGTTCAATTTCCACACTTATTTATTAGTTAATATACCTGAGTACATTTACTTTTCTTTGTCGTAGGAATTGATATTTACTCTTGATGGTTTTAAACCATATGGATGGTACTTGACTCTAGTACAATTTATATTGTATAGTATATTTTCCTGTATAGAATGTACCATAACAAAAACTGAAAGAAGGTATGGTTTTTGTTTTAATTTTGTTAGCTTCGATGTTTCAAACTCTTGTTATTAAAATTATATTTTCATTTCAGGATTCCACTAAAAGCTTACATATTCTTGGCTATGTTGACATTAGGGACTATGGGTTTCTCCAACTCTTCATTGGCTTATTTAAACTATCCCACCCAGGTTATCTTCAAGTGCTGCAAGCTGATTCCTGTTATGATTGGATCTATAGTTATTCAACACAAACGTTACAACATAATCGACTTTAGTGCAGCCATTAGTATGTGCATAGGTCTTTCGCTGTTTACACTTGCAGACAGCCAGCTTTCCCCAAATTTCAATATTTTTGGTAAGATTAACATTGTTTACTTTACTAGACTTTTTATCAATTGATGATGTGGTACTAGTACACAAGAGTTCCATACTGATTAGGCATAATTAAAAATCATTTCGATCGCACTTGTCCATGGAATGCTGAAAAAAGTCGAATGTTATGACATCAGCTCATGTCTCAACCACCCGTTCCATTTTCTCACATTTTAAAATGACCTGAATATCCCCACTGTTGAACTTCCTTATTAATGAATTATTTATTAAAATCATTTGTCAACAAATTTATTAATTATTAATTGGTATGGTGTACATTATGCGTACTTTTAATTGTCCTTATTACATTACTCAGTTGGTCCAGTAAAGAATTTTAGATTTAAAAGAAAAGTGGGTTGACTGAAGTTAAGATGGATAGATAGAGTAAGTGCCGATCCCAGAATCCTTGGAATAGGAACTGGTGAATGGCTGCTCAGGACATGGGAAGCGTGAAGAACAACTGTTGAGTCAGCCAAGATCGAGTAATGGATTGTCGAGCTCGTGGTGATGATGATGATTAATTAGTTTATTACTCTCAAAGACTTATTTAATTTATGATTATATTTTCTTCAATTATACCAGTCAAATGAATCATTTGAAAGTTCAGATAAGTTTCATAATGTAAATTTTAGTATTTGATTGGTGTAACTAATAATATATTTATAAGTAATATTTTTAAGAAAGCTATGGGGATGAAGAAGAATGTATCATTTAATCTTGCAGTGCCTAAACGCTTTATCATACCCTTGATAAACTTCCTCCAAATATTGTCGGAGGATTTTGTTGAGATCCTTCTGACAATGAATCCTAAGACAATATTCCTCACAAGATGTCAACAAAAAAGCAGTCTACAAGCCTCCAGTAGAGAATTCCTAATAGAAGTCTAATACTGTCTTCATGTGAAGGCATGGTGTAAATCACTACACTGGCCACCTCTAATGAGGACAGGATGGCCGAACACATTGCGGTGTAGGTCCCAGAGTGCCCGGTTCTGAACGCTGTGGGTTCGATTCCCACCTGGGTCGCTTACTTTTCATTTCTTGGCAGTCCAGGGAAATGGATCTTGACATTCCGACTCTGGCAAGTATGCGGCGGCAACCCCAAGGTAGCTGTCAGGGATTGGCAAATAGGACCTCTATAGACCCACTTGCTGGACTAGTTTCCCCCATCAGTACCAATACTCTAATGACCTTGTGTGTCAGTACATTTAGCTGACTAAACGGTCATACTTATCCCAATTTTTTACAAATTCCTTATAGCATATTTCACTCATGGTTTCATCTAATCCTCTGTTTCTCCTTCTCCATCAATATCTTATAGTTGTTTCAGGGTGTTTGAGAAAATATATGCAAAGAAAAGAGAAAAAAAATCCGATACGCAATACAACTTTCACTCACTATTCCGCTTCAAACAGAAATTATCTTCTGGCAAAATTAGGCTATTGCCAAAAAGTCTTTGAAATGTGGCATTATGAAGAAAAGATATATTTTACCTGTTGAATCGAATTTATTATTAACTCCATACATCCATGACCCATCTCCTAAAATATTGGTTACCTTATTGAGCGTCGTTCACAATTTTAATAGCTATTCGTATCTTCTACAGAAATTAGATGTGAAATTGTAGGGAGTCATGGAGGAAGTCTGAGACTCTGCAGGACTAATGTACAGAAATATTGGATTATTGAATAACATTGATTTCATAATAAAAAATTAAAATTATTCGTTTTTCCTTCTAATTAATTTTTTTTTATGACTTTCAGGGGTGATAATGATATCTTCTGCTCTGGTTTGTGATGCCCTTATAGGAAATTACCAAGAAAAATGGATGAAAAAATATAATGCTTCCAACAGAGAAGTAATTCTATTTTCTTATTCTCTAGGATTTCTGTACCTTTTTGTCATTATGCTGTTCTCAGGGAGTTTATGGTCTGGAATAGTGTTTTGTTATGACGTATGTATTATTTTAATTAATTTTATAAAACAAGGCTGTTGATAAATTATGGTAGTTATCATACCCGTATACTTGTTTCAGAAACCTCACATATATGGATATGCATTTCTGTTCTCCACAACAGGCTACTTAGGTGTTCAAGTTGTTCTCAGCCTCGTTAGAACTTGTGGAGCCTTAACAGCTGTCACTGTTACCACTTCTAGAAAAGCCTTATCTATTGTTATTTCATTCATTTTCTTCGCGAAACCATTTACCATACAGTATGTATCAAATTTTTTTTTTTTTTCAATGACATAGTTTAGTGCTTATCACTTGAAGACCCAATTCTTAATTATGATATAATATGGTTTAATTAAAAAGCTCCAATGTTTCCTTACTTGGTGGTAGAAGGCATACATAATTTTAGATTACTGACAAAAACTTTCTACATTATATGTATCTGCTGAAATTTTAGGTATATTGAATTGTCTGAGTAAACCAACTTTTTATAAAAATGATAATTTTTTTCATTTTAAAGTTGTTTTATCTTCTAAATTGTGAAGTGATTTAACCTTGCAGACATTGTAGATACAATATGCATTTAAATTAGTATTATTTTCAATTAACAAACCAAGGGATCAATCCGTGGTGTTGATATTTGTTTGTCCTCTTAATATTGCTTCCTTATTGCTTAAATTTCACTACTTTGTTGTCAACTTTTCTCATTACTTTTTATTATTAATGTCAAGAATCATTTTATCAACTCTAGAAAACTATTTTCTGAAACAAAAGTAACATTATATAGAAAACAAAAAAAAAGAAACTATTAAATATGGAATGTAAAATTAAATTTCCGGAAAATTCCAATATTACTATCATTTTCACAGATACTCTTAGCTTTTGAGGGTTTATACAACAGTTCTTGTTGTTAATAATGAAGTGTAAAGACTGAAATAGATAACAAAGTAGTGAAATGTTTACAATAAGATTATATAATTCAGATGTTCAAACTAAAAGTCAAGACAACGGATTGGTCTATTGGCTTGTTGTTAATTGAAAATAATACTAATTTAAATGCATATTACATCTAATATCTGCAAGATTAAATCACTCTACAATTAAGAAGATTTTAAATTTATTATGGGTGATAAATAGTCAAGACGCAATCATTATAAAAAAAAATTTTATTTGTGCCGTTTCAACCCAAACATGTGGGTCATCATCAGGGCTGAAAATTTTAAAATACAATCAGAGATATAATATTATACGACTAATAATGGCAAATAATAAACTATAGTGATTGATGGTACATGAATCTTAACTATTATCCTCCCCCAACCTTTTCACTCACTTACCAAATGTGTGAGTACTTGAAATCCTTCAGTGCTCGAACCACAGTTAGTAAGAGAAAATATTGCAAATTTTTATAAAAAGAATATATATTTAATTTTTAATATTCTGTATTGTAATAATAGTTAAGATTCATGTACCATCAATCACTATAGTTTATTATTTACCATTATCGGTAGTATAATATTATATCTCTGATTGTATTTTAAAATTTTCAGCCCTGATGATGACCCGCATGTTTGGGTTCAGACGTTGTCAGGCACAAACAAAAAAATTTTTATAATGACTGCGTCCTGACTATTCACCCATGATATGTAAAACAGTCGACTAGCTTCCTTCAATAATTCTTTTAAATTTATTATTTTTATAGATGAAATGAAATTGTCAGAAATTTTAGTCAGGATATGTTTGTTGGGTTGAAACATCGGCTAACCCAGTAAAAATATTGACTGAAATTCCTGACAATTTTTTTTTCGTCCTTATAATTGATCAGTCGACTACTTAACCATCTCTTACATTTTATTATTTTTATAAAAACTTAATTTGTTTGAAGACTTGTTCACACCTCTGTTGATATCTAAGTATATATATTTTCTGTGTGTATGTGTAACCTTATTTTAAGACTGTTATTCTGATTAATGTAGTGTTCTTTTCTCTATTTTCAGATATTTCTGGGCAGGTCTTCTAGTCATATTTGGAATTTACCTAAATTTGCTAAGTAAAAATCAAAAGAATCTTTGCAAATCAAATTTTTTCCACAATATCGTCCGACGTTTTACTCCTAAGAGTCATCTTAAATCTTTTACTACAACAGTATGATACTATGAAGGATATGTGAGTTGTAAGACTGGAGTTAGTTGGAACATCCTAGTGCATTTAAAGACACCAAAGAAGGACTTTAGTTGTTAGAAAGGCTTAACTGTGATTGACTAGGGGCAAAACTTTTTCCCTGGTCTGTTTTAATTCAATTGTGAAGTGTTATGGAATGGTATGAATTATGTTATTACATTGTACTTTTAATTTTATCAGTGACCATTGATGATCGCAAAGTAAATTTTATACATGGATAGTTTTTATATTTACTTCTTTCACATGTATTACTGCTTTGCTATTCTTTTTGTAAACTGAGAATTATTAATAAAGTCTTCCTTTAATAATTAAGTGCAATAAGTGTGAAACAAGTCAAAAATAAATGGGAAGAAGATTTTTATAGAATACATTAATTACTTTTCACTAACCACAGTGACTTTACTATTTATCAATATGATATTAAGTGATTATTCATTTATTCATAAATATAAACATATTTATGTTTGTCTGGAGATATAAATACGACAATGTTCATCTTTTTGAAGAATACTTAAAGAAAAATTTAAATTTCAATATCCAGAGTTACATGCCATTCATACTTAATTAAGTTTTATATTTTATAACTTTAAGTAAAAAAAATGTTTCAATAAATGATTCAAAAATAATTTTTTTTTAGATATGTTAGTTGATAATTATTGCTGTAGCTACTGAAAAGTACCTAGTGTACCTATACTACTTCGCCCATCTGGAGATAATAAAAAAAAACCATTGTGTTCTTCTAGAACTTACATTGCATTAGTAACCAATGACTAGTATTAAGAAAAAATTCAGTTAATCAAATTTTTCAAAAGTGTATTTAATATTGAAACCTCCTTAATTCATATTGATAAAGAAAGTTCCCTGAATTTGAAAAATATTGGATATGAATGATATATATTAAAAATAGTAGTAATATTTCAAAATTGTAAAGAGCTCACTTGAAACATTAGTTGTTGTTTGGTTTTCCCCATCACTAATAAAATATATGTTCAAATCTACTAAAACTGTAAATGAACTACTTAAACTATTACTGTTCAATTTTGATAATATAGCAGTTTACAATTTTTTCTGGATCTAACTATATATATAGTAAAAAAAATATATATATATTTACTTTTTGATCTATAGTATTGCTTATATCTGGTACTAGTTCTAGTAACTGGTACTTGAATTTAAATAAATTAAGCAGTCTTCATTTCATTTTGTAAATTATAATAATACAATAATTCAGGTATAAAATTGTTTATTTTAATTTTAGTTATTACTAAAAGAAATATAATGACTGTGTTAGTAATAAATAACTAAGATTATTATTTAGATTTTTTATTATGACTATAATAGAGAATTGATAATTGTAACTGGTTAATAAAACAGCTATATTTTAAATTATTATTTTTAGAAATACATAGCAAAACAAAAACTCTAGCAAAAAAACAATTTACTGTGTTTATAAAAATTTCACTGAAAGTTGTAAAAATATATATCAACTTTAGCTATGAAAATATGTTTTAACTTTACTATTACAGATCATATTTTATGTTAAAAATTAATTTAGTAACTTATTATCCTCCTATTGTTTTGTTCTCCATATTAGCATATGTGTTCACTTATTCAATGAAAAACAATCATTTGAGGTCTTCGAAAATAAAGTATTATATAGAATATTTGGTCCAAAAAAAAATGATTCCATTGAGAATTTATCAGGCTATTCCATGTGGGCCAACAGAGCAGTCACCTTATTAGGTAATTGGATTAGTTGTTTGATACCATTGAAATGTGCATGTAAAAAGTTCTTATGATTAACAAGAAACAAATCCTTAATAAGTTAATTAGTGTTAAATAATAAGCATTTGAAAATTGTGTTAAGACTGAAAATTTAGGCTGTGGCGGCAGTCAGTAGAAGAAGGTATACAGGGAGTGATTTGTTCGGGAAAACCGTTTCAACTAAAGGTGTGCTTGTTTGTACTAAAGGTTTATCGGTTGTGAGTCTCTGTTTTGAATATACATATCTCATGTACATTCATGTTCATATTATCATGATTTACAGGGTCATTCTCAGTATTTATTACTTATAGAAGCTTCAGAAAATGTTCCATCCATGTCCCAATTGTTGCTGTTTCTCCCTCTATTGTTTTCTTCTTTTTATTTTTACATCCATGTAATTTAGTTTGATATATTTTCAAACTGCATGAGAAATAGTATGCAGTTAGATGAGAAATAAAGCACTGTTGGTGGAGCTCTATGTATGTATGTAGTATGTATGATATAACTTAGAACCATGAAAATTATGAGAAACACTTAGTATCTTTTTTTTTAATTTGCTAGAGTTTTTTTTTTAGCGGTTAGTATAGAGATAATATATACATCATACATTACATATAGGCAATACGTACAATATTCGTTGTATAATAAATTGTTTAAAAATTGAAACAAAGCACAAAAATTAATTTCTGTTACTCAAAATTTTAAAATTCAATTCCCTAAGATTAAAATTGATTAATTTTAAAAACCTTACTATTATTAATGATATAGGAATATAGAGGTCTAGACCTACTAGTTATGTGTTAGTATTTTATTTTTAAAATATTCATATAGTTGTTTATTCAGCGATAGAGGAATAATAGTGGTAAACAATCATTTTTAAATTTAATTATAATTAAACTGAAAGATAGAGGAAATTGAAACATTATTCCAATTCCCACCCCTGTAAATATATATCAAGAAGAAATATTGTCCTTTAATAACCATATGACCTTAAAATGACATGATACTTTTAAATCTGTTATTAACACATTAGTACAATCATGATTCATCATTTTGATATAATTCATTTTATTTAATTTCTTCCTTAATCATTGTATTTAAATTTTTGAAAATAATATATATTTAACTTATCAACAAAACAGAGGTTGTTTTAGCTACTTTTCTAATTTCCTTGAAAACAAAGCCATCAATTTAATGTTAGTTTCTACCCTTATACTATCTTAACAAAAATTTAAGTTAAAAAAGCTTTATTGTAATTAACAAAAATTAATTCATGATTTCAGTTAACAGCTATTTGAGAATTATCTTTTTTAATTCTCTTCTCATCATCTTTGGCATATATTGAGTCTTTTGTGAATAAAACACTGTTATCAGTATCCTCACCTGGTATAAACATTTGATCACCCCATCTATCTAAAAATTCAAGAATTATTGCATTGGTCCAACCATAACCTAATGATGAGGATTCTGGTGATGTGGAATACCCTGATCCATAGCAGTCATACTGAAATATATATAAGCTTTAGGTTATAAATGTTAAATACATGTAACATATTTTTTTTTAATATAATTAGAACAAAATGACTGAGAATGGTGTTTTTATAAAGTTATAATAAGCTAAGTTATTAAGTTACTAGTAAATTGAGGGATGGAAATCTGAATAAAACTTCATCTTCAAATGAAAATAATGGGTGCTCAATAGTCAGTTTTTGAGATTTATAATTCCAACATTTCAACCCAATTCAAAAATTTATAATATCAGAGATACGATATTATATAAGAAATAATGATAAATTGTATGAGTTATAATTAATGGCCCAGGATTCAAACATTTCCCCTAACCTTTTTAATTCCTATATAAATGGTCTTCCCAAATACATCTACCACTGTTCACACCATTTATACGCTGATGACTCTCAAATCTATTACTCTTTTCACCCTTCTGAGCTATTAGTCGCGTTCGCCAATGTTCAAGTAGACCTAGATAGGATCAGTGCCTGGGCAAGTCTGAATAATTTAAAGCTAAATGCAATGAAAACTCAGGCCATTATTATAGGTTCCAGTTCTCTTCTTAAATTCATCGACTTCCTTTCTCCTTTAGCCAACAACAATCATCCCATCACATTCAGTTAAAAACCTAGGAATCACCATTGACGAAAACTTCTCCTGGAAACCCCATATTGCCCTCATTTTCCGAAAGTCAATAGATACCCTTAAGTTATTTCATCGCTCCCGTCACCTACTCCCACACCAATCCGCAAGCTCCTTAGATCTTCTCTGATTTTCCCCCACTTTGACTACAGCTGTGTGGTATATGGAGACATCCTGAGAGTACTTGAGGATAGATTGAAGTATTGGTTTTTTTTTTTTTGTCTGTGTCCCCTTCCTCGCCTTTAAGGCTATACGGGGTTTTCCTGGACCACTGGGAGTGTGGGCAGGGATTTAAAACATCCCTGGTACCAGGACACGAACTCATGACTATTTTTTATCAGTTGGTCTCACATACCAGATTGATGGGCAACGGGGGTGCTTTGCACACGCATTAGCCCGTTCAGCCAATCCCCCACCTAGATTGAAGCGATTTTTTTTTTTTGCGTCCTCCCCTTTCTCGCCGTTAAGGCTATAATTTAAAAGACACCTTGGCACCGGGACGCCAACTCTTGACTATTTTTATAACATTTGTCATATATCAGGTTGCCGGGCAACGGCGGTGCTGTGCACACGCCTTAGCCCATTTGGCCACCTCGCCCACAGATTGAAGCGACTCATCAACTTCTGCTTAAGATTTGTCTACGGTACTTTTAGGCGATCTCTTGTGTCCCACCTTTACGACGAGTTAAAGTGATTCTTCCCGCCAACAATATTTCCTATTCAACACTCGACACCCTTCCTACATCAGCAGTCTCCTACAGTTCAAAACTGTGGTCCACTCCTAGAAAACAAGATCCCGTGTTTCCAACCTTTATACTCATTCCCATAGAACCAAGACATTCGAATATTCCTTTACTGCCTTCTAGAATTCCTTGCCATCTGATATCTGCCATGTCTCTTTTTTGTCCTCATTCAAAAATATTATCTCTACCAATTCCTTCTCACTTCCCAAAATGAGATTGTACAATGAAATAAATATTATGAATCAAATTTTGACTGATGTGATTGGTTGTTGAAATTGTTTGAGTTTTAATTTTAAGAATCAACCCAAAGTGCTTATAACATTTTGTTTTTTATTTTCCCTGATTTCTGTTTGTCATTTCATTTCAATAATGTTTGTTTTTTCAAAATGGTTTTACTTTTTTTTTATTTGTTTTAATATATTTTCACTGAAGATATTGTATATATTTTTTAATTTTGATTAATGTAATTTTTGGCCAGATTTGGTTGATACATCACTATTTACCATTATTAACTATTATCTCTTGTATAATATTATATCTCTGATGTTATAAATTTTTCAGCCAGATGATGACACATAAGTTTCAATTGAAATGTTGGCATTAAAAAATGACTATCTATCACCCATGATATGTAGAACAGTCGACTAACTTTCTTCTATAATTCAATATTACTCAAAATTTATATACTAATAAAGATATGTTTTAATACTGAATTGTACACCTTTTTTTCACATAGTAATTTTATTTATTTTTTTACTACTATCAGTTGATGCTTCATAAAAATGTTTCATATTCTGGCATCAATACATTGCTCACTATATCTTTTATAATTATAATGTAGGATTTATAGATATGAACTTCATTTGTTCTTATAACAATAACAAAAAATACAGGAAGAGAAATTGCATCATGAAAACCTTAAATATAATCACTTTTGTGATTACACTTAAATATCTACTGAAGGTAGTTTAGGGAGTAAAAAAAGGTAACTAGTTGGAATCCGTCCTGAGATGTTTGAAAATTATTTTGTCGAGGACCCATAGGATGAATCTCGAACATTCCACTCTGGTTAGTACAGGTTTGTTACAACACGATAACTCACCTCTTTCTCCTTTTTGATGATGTTGATATTCTATATACACACGGTTTACAATTTGGATACTGCTTTTATTAATTTTGTTACTCGGTATTATTTATGTTTTGAGTTTTCTGATAGTAATTTTATATCTTTTGAATGATGGTATGCCTGAAAATATTTAGAATTTTTTTTTTTTTTTTGAACTATATGAAATTTCGAAGCAGTTTCATTCAGTTATATTTAAGAATTTGGGGGAAATATTTATGATTTTTCTCAATAAAGTCTGTACCTTTACTAGTATTTCATAGTGGTTATCATATGCAAAGGTCTGTATTAAAGGATAAGAATAAGTTATTTCAGGAAAAAAATGAATTAATATGTGAAAAAAACACATTTTTTGTTTATTGTTTGAAATTATTGGACCATATTGCTTTGAAATCTTAAATATGCTACATTCTGGTTTCAAGATTAACGGTTTATTTATTTCACTCAAAGACCGGTTACAAATTAAATTGTGATTTGATAAGCCACACTTTTTTCTAATATATTGAAGTGATGTTGGGATATCTTCCCTGTAAAATAATTATCAATAGTAAAATAGAACTTATTACTAGTAAACAATGGTATATTTACATATGGATGAGTAGACCCATGAATTTGATATTCTCTATAGCAACTGTTAATAAACTTATCCGCGAAATGAAATGCAAGTTCAGAACCAACAGTTGTACCAAGTCTGTCTAGACCTTGTACAAGAAATGCTTGTAAAGGTGGCCAACAATAAGGGAAATCCCAAAGTTCACCAGAGTCTTCCAATGATGCTGGTACCCCTCCTGTGAAGCAAAAGTAAATAATTTTTCTTCCAATTATTTAGGTCATACAATAAGTTTTAATATTTACCTGGAAGTTTTAGCATACCTGGAAAAGTATCAACCTTATTAGCATACAAATACTTCAATACATTTGACGTTATTTTGTTAGGATCTTTGCTGTATGACTTTGTCCATAAAGGGACTAAGTTAGAAATGTAGAAATAATCTCTCTGAATATTATTGTGCAAATCATAATCTAACCATACTCCTTGTTCTTCATTCCATAATATCTTTAAAAAATAATCAGCCTCAAAAATAACAGTATTTAATATAAAATAATTGCATGAAGAAATTCTTAAAAAATTTCAAATGCTTACAACTTCAATTGCTCTCAACAAATTTTCAGCTTCGCATTGGTATTTTTTTGCCTTTACTGTATCTCCAAATTTCGTATACCACTCTGAAAAGAGGACTAGATTTTTGTGTATGATAGCATTGAGATCAACTGGCACAATGATCTGTGTCTGGATATTGCTTCGAGTCCCTGTTAACCATTGTCTATATAAATAAAATATTAATGATACATGGATACGTGATTTCTACAATAAAAATATATAAAAACAATAATATGTTCACTTATATTAAGAAAATTTCAGAAACGAAATAATTGTGAGGGTGAAACTAAATCAGACATAAATTAATCCTATTGTTATAACAAAGTTGTACCCACAAACCACACACCCTGCCTACAAATACATTTTTGAATCTAAATTTTCTACAAAATTTCAACATAAGAATAATGCAACACTGCCATTAGTAGAAAGGATGATGTTTGCAATATGTAAGTTGAAACAGATCAATGTAAATATATTTCAAAATGATATATCCCTCTTGGACTTTTATACAGCCTAAATTAAATCTACTGCTCTCCAAATTTAAAAAAGAAAATACGGAACCTGCAAAATATAAAGAACTATTTCATAAAACAATTAGCTTTCTATCAGAACACTTACTAATATTCACGGACGGTTCTAAATCAGATACATCAACAGCATCTGCCTTCATCACACCTGGTGCTACCTATAAATGTAAGCTACATCCTCTTTGTTCCATATATACCGCTGAGATTAATGCCATCGTGATGGCTCTACGACATGTGATAAATTCACCAGTTGCAAATCTTGTTGTGGTGTCAGATTCTTTGAGTGCCCTTGAAGCCTTGAACAACATGTATCGAGTTCGTATAGGAATATATACTATTTTGGGGGTCATAAAACAGCTAAGTAACATTGGAACATTAATATATTTATGATGGTACCCATTATGCATTGGTACTGGTCATATAGGTCATACACTGGTCATGTAGGCATTGGTGGTAATGAAATGGCTGATAGAGCAGAAAAAGAAGCTCTTACCCTGCCAAGGCGTGGTAAAGCCTTCATGACTGCGTCCAAAATAGCGCGACCACTGAAAAAGGCTGTACATCAGGATTGGCAGACACTATACTGGGACAATAGCTCTTCAAATAAATTAAAGACGATAAAAAAGGAACTGAAGCCATAGAGTAGTTTCAGTCGCAGTAAGCTCAGAGAGAAAATTGTCCTTACGCGACTAAGAATAGGTCATACGAGGCTTACACACCTTCACTTAATTACGAAAGAAAACCCGCCCATTTGTCGGAAGTATGGAAAGAGAATGTCAGTCGTTCACATCTTGGAGAGTTGTGCTTTTTACATTAGAGAATTAAACATAAGGAGGATACCAGCAAATACACCGGCTGCTTTGGGAAATGATGAAAAAATCTTAGGCAAAATCATATGTTTTCTCTCTGAGGAAGGAATCTTAAAAAATCTCTGAACCTCTCATGCAGCACTCCCCATCTCTTTTTTTTCCTTCTCACAAATTTTTTTTCCCCCGTTTTCCTTTTTCTTTTTTACCTAACGTGCGAACTTCAAATAACTAAACTTCAATAACAATAAACAACCTTTAACCTTAATGTGCATTTTACATTTTTTAAATTTTATCCAATTCTTAATATTCATAACCAAAAGATATAATAATATATAATTTTAATTAATGGCGTTGATGACCAACAGGTTTTACGCCTTTACTATACAACTAACCAACCAATCCTAATCTTTTACATGTTGAGAAAGTTGTTAAACCAGCATTTTTTAGTCGAACAGAAGAATACAGTTATATGTCCAATTTTAATTTTTATGAATTAAAATGGAAGAAAACCCAAAACATAAGGGCTTGCATGAATATTTTAATTTTTTTTTTACTTCATAATTTTAATCAAAATCCAATTTGCCAAAATATTTAAAGTGGACAGCTTCTATCTTTTTTACTGTATAAATAGAATACTGGGCTTCAAAGCACATATTAAAATACTCGCTCAAAGAGCACAGTAAAAAATATCAGAATTTTTATAATTCTCAACATTTTTTATAAGCTTATGTCTTGGTACCCTAATAGCTGTATGTCCTTATGTGCTAAGAGGAAATGTACCAAGAACAATTTTTATATCATATTGGTAGATGATGTAACAGCTATGCTGTTATAATAATTAATTATACTTCCTTATCAACAAGTAAATAATCAGAGTATAAGAACTCTGTGAATATAAGAAGTAGTTACCAGTATTATATCCATGTTGAACATACCATCTTGATGAGAGATTCCAACCTGATTCAGAGGCTGAGGTTAAAGCAGTAAAATGTTTGACCAACTCTTCAGGAGTATCTGCTAATATTGCACTTTCCATATCATTCCTAAAAGAGTAACTTTCTCATTCGGTTTTCAATGACATTTCCTGTGACTACCAATTATCAGAAAGAAATAATTAAAAATTAAACTATTGTTTAGGTGTTAAAAGGTGTTCAGTTGGATAAAATAAATCTCTTGAATATTAATTAGCTCAGAATAATCAATTGCACTCCTAGTGGGGAAAAAGTAATGGGTGTGTACCATGATATCCTTTATAACGAACACTTTGATATCTCAATAGAATCAATAGCCACTGTCAGCTATACTGGCTCTAATCTAAAATTATTCCAGAAAATCTTTTATAAGAAAACATAAAATATAACATACTTCTTATTTGCATTATTATTATTTATTATTTTGGTATGTTAGTATTTTAATAATATTACTCACTTAAAAGCCTCAGGTCGAGGTAACTCACTTGGTACATTATATAGATACATTTTATATTCAAAACCATTTTTCCGTGCTGTTATAGACCTAAATTTCTTCCAATACTCAATTTCCTTTTCCAGAATCTGTCAGTATAACATATGGTTGTTAAAATTAAAATTTTCTAGAATAAAAATTAAAAACTCTACTGTGACTGGTATAACTAAAAAGACATTTGAAAAATGTTTTCAAGAAATATACTTATCCATTGCTCCAAGCTTACATGAAGGAAATTTAAAATTGAAAATTTAAAAAATTGAAAATTGGACTTATTATTATTATTAAGTGAAGGATTATATTATGATTTATTAATTAAATTACTCCAATAATATTTGTACTGTTTTCATAAAACAATGGTATTCTAAGTGATACAATTAGTTCATTAAAGAATAAATTCATATAATTATGTTTTTTTTTTTTTTTAAGTTCAACTTCATTACAAAAAATCTAAAAAAAAATTCAATTTTGAATAAAATTTTTTTGGGTAGTGCTATTCTAAACCTCCTTCTTTCTGTAGTTCCTTTGTGCCGTTAAGCGTGAAGCTGCAGTCCCAGCCCATCTTGCCCACTGGTCTCTGTTCCTGGCTAGTCTTCTCATCTCCAGTATGGTGAGTCCTCTTGCTGTGCCCAGTTTTCCAATGTAATCATGGTACGTAGGTCTCGGCCTGCCACGAGGTCATCTGCCCTCCGGTCTAGCTTCCATAAACCACCTGGCCTTTCGGGTTTTGTCCATTCTACAGATGTGCCTGAACCATTTCAATTGCTTCTCTTCCAGGATTCCACGGATTGATGTCACCTCCAATTCCTCACGGATTCTGTCATTTCTGACACAGTCCTTCTTAGTTTCGCCAGCTTTTCTTCAGAGGAATCTCATTCCACTACTGTGTTCCTGCCTACGTGCTTATCGAGGGTTTTCCAGCTTTCAGATCCAGAAACAAGTACTGGGAGGAACACCGCCTTATATATTGTGAGTTTGGCCTTTCTGCTTACTTCCTGTTTTCCTATGATTGTTTTGGCTATCTGGTAATATATCCCATTGGCCTTCTTCACCCGATTTAGTACCTCCTGGTCTATTTTACCATATTCATTGATGATTGTCCCCAGATACGTGTATGCATTTGTTACCTCTAGGGGTTCACCATTACTTAACATCATAGGCTCCGCATTATTGTTCCACGTTTCTTTTATAGCTTACGCACACAACCTTGCTCTTAGACGGGTTTATATGCAGCCCTCGTAGCTTCAATTCTTCTTCCCATTCGACTAATGATGCCTGTAGAGTCTCTTGTGAGTCCGCTATAAGAATTATATCGTCGGCATATAACATAGCTTGACCCAGCACGGGTGTCAAATTCCAATATCCCACAACAGCCCTTGGGATTCTTCTTTTACACACTTTCCAAATTTCATCCATGAGAAGGATAAAAAGCAGAGGACTAAGAATATCCCCTTGCTTTATTCCTTTATAAAAGTGGAAAGGTTCTGATGTGTGTCCATTGAGCCTTATTACACCCTTTGGATCTTGGTATATAGATTTAGTAGCACGCACCAAGTTTGCAAGTACTCTTCTTTTAATTAGTGAGTCCCATATCTCTTGTCTCAGAACTGAGTCGAATGCAGCCCTAAGATCCAGAAATGCTAGATAAACCGATTTTCCATGGTCCCATGCTTTTTCCACAATCATCCGTAGTGAGAATATGTGGTCTGTCTGCTGGGTCTGAAAGCAGCTTGCTCCTCCTCCAGATCTTGTTCTACTATATGCCTTAATCGCTGTTCAAGAATTATTGAATATATCATGTACACAACTGACGAGAGGCATATTGGCCTATAGTTCCTGCATTCGCTTTGGCTGCCTTTCTTGTGTATAGGGACTATTCTAAACCAAAAACCCAATTTTAAGAATATGATAAATAAATAATGAAAATTTTAAAAATGACAATCACAAAATCAGGTTGACTTCTTTTGATATATTTAATTAGCTTTTCATGTTTATATATATTTTTTATTGTTATTTAGTAAAATATAAGTCAATGAGATTTAATCTAATTATAATATGATATTAAAATGGGTGACATATAATTCTTTCTTCTTTCTTAATTTCATCACAAAATCTTTAAAAATAAGAGATGTAAAAGCATGTTAAATCTTAAAATTAAATTTTTATTTATTATATTAAATTAAAAAAGATTCAGATCAGGTTCAATAATAAAAAATATTTATGATTTCAGACCTGCTAGGAAATTCAAAATAAGAATGTATAGTAATAATATGTCAGTGTACTAAACAAAATACGAATGTCCCATTTATTAGTCGAGTGGTGCATTGGCTTTTTTAAATAAATATTTTCTGCATCAGTAGTCCTTCTGAAGAGACACATGATTCTCCACATGTAGTATTACATAAAAACAATATTACAAGATTTCAGTCACTAGTGGATCCCAAGTAAATGTTTGAGTTAAAGTAATCATACAACAATACATTATTGTTTATATATATATATATAAACAATACATTATTGTTTATATATATATATAAACAATACATTATTGTTTATATTATATATAAACAATACATTATTGTTTATATATATATATATATATATATATATATATATATATATATATATTATTATATAATATATATATATATATATTATTATTAGAATTATAGTAGGATAATAGGTAATGAAATTTCATGACCTATTATCGGACTATAATTCATATCTTAAGTTATAGTATATAAAGGTCGTATTATAAAAAAAAAAAAAACTTTGTAATTATATATGTATGTATATATATATTTATTTATTGGTCCATTTTTGTTTCTATGTAAAATCTGAGCTAAATACTTAAAAAATATATGTTCTCTTTTTTAAATCATATATTTTTTTTTTTATAAGCTTATTTATTGAAATATATTACAATCTGTCTCAGGGACATTAATAATAGTGTTCACAGATCACATTCACACTCTATGTGCAGTAAATAAAATAAATTATACAGAAAAATAATATATATACAATAAATAAGAATAAAATAACCTAAAAATAAATAAATAAAAAGAACACATGCATACCTATATACAATATTTACAACTTGGCGAGAGAACTCCAAACCAGACTTGTCCCTCCAGCAGTGGAGGGAAAAGTATGACTCCAGGAGTTCCCTACACTCCTCTCTCAACTGCGTCAGTAGGGCTAAACCCAGTGGAGATTGAGCAAGAGTGCTTTAGCCACATACACTCATGTCGTGAGTGGAGAATCTGGCCATTGCCAGAACTCCAATATTTACAAACTATAAAAGATCGCGGGGCCACTGCCGTTTTAACCTCCTTGGAGGATTATATGGATGGGTGGTGCTGGATAGAGATTTTGCAAAGGGATTTGGATGATGGGTAAGGTTCTGGTGGAATTTGGAGAATTTTGCTGGGATAAGGTCTAGGACAAATGGGATATTAAGGTCATGGTGTAGGGTTTTGTTGGTTACATAGAAAGGAGCATTGACTATTGTTCGAAGGACTTTTGATTGGAAGGATTGGATGCGTTTGATGTTAGTAAATTTTGCTGTTCCCCACAGTTCAAGTCCGTAAGTCCAGACAGGTTTCAGTATTGTCTTGTAGATCAGTAACTTGTTTTCAGTGGAAAGTTTTGATTTTCTGTTTAGTAGCCGGTATAGTTATCCGTATCGTCGGTTTAGTTCCTGTCTTTTAAGTCTAGTATGAGGGTTCCACGTTAGTCGTCTGTCTAAGAGAAAGCCAAGGTACCGGACTGTGTCCGAGAAAGGAAGCTGAATGGAATTAAAGTGTACTGGTGGACAGGAACTGCTTCGGAGCGTGAAGGTGATGTGTTGGCATTTGGATTCGTTTACTTTATTTCGCCATTTATTACACCAGTGCTCAATCAGGGAGAGGTGTCTTTGAAGGTTTAAGGATGCTATATCAGGATCTGAGTCGGATGATAGAATGGCGGTGTCATCAGCAAAAGTTGCCAGGAAGGTATCGGGATGGACAGGGATATCGGCGGTAAAGAGGATGTAAAGGAGGGGACCCAATATGCTACCTTGAGGAACACCTGCCTCAATTGGATAGCAATTCGATAATTCACTACCGCAGCGAACTCGGAAGGTACGAACTGAGAGGTAGGAACGGAGGACAAGGTACAAGGACTGAGGAAGATAGGTTTTCAGCTTGGAAAGAAGCCCGGCGTGCCATACCCGGTCGAAAGCTTGAGCTATGTCCAGAAATGCACCCGAGCAATATTGCTTGCTTTCCAATGCTGCGGAAATATGATCGACCACTCAGAGTCCTTGTTGGACTGTGGAGTGTTGTGAACGGAATCCGAAAATTTTGGGATTCTATAAAGGATAGGATTCGTTTCAGGAGGATCTTTTCAAAGATTTTTGAGAGAATCGGAAGTAGGCTAATTGGTCTGTAGGACGTTGAGGTGTTGGGAGGTTTGCCTGGTTTCGGAAACAGGATAATAGTGGAATGTTTCTACAAGAGAGGAAAGTGGGTGGTTCTTAGGACGGCATTTAAATCATAATGCAACACAAAAATGGTTTTGTTAGCATAAGCCTACAATCAAATTTTATTTTAAAAATCCATCCTCTCTGGTTGCTATGAAGGGTCTAAAATTAAATTTCAGTGTCAAGGAAATAAATGATAAAGTATTAATTCAACTTTAAGTATATTAAACTATGTCTATTATGAATAAGGTTTTAAATTACCTCAATATTGCTTTTTAGAAATTCTAAATCTTTGGTGTGATTATAAAAAGATTCCATCATCATAGGAAGCAAAGGCGGTTGACTTCTGCCTTTAAAATAAATTCTTGTCCCCGTTGGTACATAATTATATTTAGAAACAAGATAGATGAAATTCTTTATTATATCTGTGGGAATTTACTTTTTTTTAAATACTGTTATTGTTGTTATTAATAACAATATTACAAAATTTGATTTGTAGTAAAAATGAAAATTGATAAAAAACAAAATTAATAACTTTATTGTTTTGGTAAAACCATTTATAAGATTAATATAAAATTACTCTACTGATTTTGTTGACTAATACAATTGATATGTATCTATCAATAGTTTTTTTTTCTGTAAAATATATTATTAGCTGATCTTAAAATCTTATACCTCTTGCACTATCATGCATACTGCATTTTAATAAGCCATTTACAATCCAGTAGGAATCCCAATAATAAAGCTCTTTTAAATTCTCACCAGGAATCAGAAAACTGAAAAAAAATAAAATGGTTTCAGTATTGATAAGTTTATTTTAATTTCAAACACAAGCCCCTAAAAAAAGGAGAGGAATGCCAACTAACTTCAAGATTTGTTCATCCAAGAAGTTGTCCAAAAACCTATACTGAATTCAGATTTTAATATTAATAATAAAGTCAATGTATACTCTGGGATTATTCCTTCTAAATAATATACAATCCTCATAGTAAGGCTTAGAGACCCAAAGAAGTAATGAATTACAATGTCAGACTCTTTCTATAAATCACCAACAGTTGTCTTAACAAGCAAAATAGAATCCTAAATGACTAGGATGTATCAAGCTCAAAAGAGAAGAGAGGCAATTTTCTGAATTTAATTTCTTTTGTATTGAGGTTTTTTTTTTATTTGGTTTGTATCTAAATAAAACTGTATAAATCAAAAATTGTTGAAACACTAACAAGCATAGAGTAACTGACAATAAATGTCTCAGAAATTGGTTGCTGTTTTAATTTTCCATGTTGGAAGAGGGAGCAGCTACTAAACCTTACCTTTCCCGGATAGGACATGATACATGACCTTATAAAACCAATATCTGTAATGTTTTGATGAGCATACAACAATATCTATGAATTTCAAAGACCTTGAGATCACATTTCTAGGAATGATCAAGTTATGAAACCGATAGTGGCGATAACTATACTCAATCTGAAATCTTTAGAAGAGATGCAATAAAAGTTAACATGATTTATATAAATGGAAGTCTGTAAAAAAAAAAAACCTTGAGCAATCACCAATCCTTCCCATAAAAAATGTTCTAGTAAAATTTTTTAATAATAGAAGACATGAGCACTTATAAAAATATAAAGATACCTACAACAAAAAATGCCTCTGTACCACACTGTAAATAGTTCCACCTGAATATATACAATGTGTGACCAACAATGTTGAAGGGCAAGAAAATTTAAAATGGCTCTTTTTGCTAGGAAATCCTTAAGGCCCTGAATGATCTATCCAAATATTAAGAATTTCTCTACTTCTGTGGTGGCTCACTAGCGGATCCAGGAATTAATTTTGGGGGGGCTTCAGCCCGAAAGATTTTTTTTTCATATACATATAACGATAATTAATTAGAAAAGAAAGAAAGAAATTAACTACCTACATAGAATGGTGTTTAAGTGGTTCTTGAAGTCCTATTAAATGTAATTATACGAACAAGAATACTTTAAGAGATAGTTTTAATATTGTTTTCTGTAAAACATGGTTATATTTTACAATTTTACCCTTTCGGGCTGAAGCCTCCCTCCCTCTCTCCCCTGTAGATCCGCCTGTGTGGTGGCTGAAGAATCAGCTTAGGAATCTATCTTTCAGAGTGAAAAATGTTAATCCACCTAATTTACTTAACACAAGCAACTTAAAACAATATTTCATTTTCTTACAGAAATATTTTTTATTTTTTTTTTATTTAATTTTAATGAAATTTACAACTGTATTACATTAAAAATACAACAGGTAAATGTGACATTGGTAACATGACATGTAAAATATGAAGAGAAACTACCCATTGGTAGAACTCAAATTAAAGTTCTATATTAGAAGATCCCGAGGCCATCTTATTTTCAGACGCCTCGGAGGGTTATCGGGGATAGAGGAGGAAGCAATGTTTGAAACAAGAGGGTTCGGATGGTTCTGCAGTTTGTTATGGAAGGATAGGCTTACAGAAATATAAGTGTTGAAGTTTTAAATTTCAATAATATAAAAATAAAATTAATTCATAAAATAGAATTCATAGCAAAAGAGTGTTAACTACACGACTTATTAGGAGGATTTACTTACCCATGAGGAACTGGAATTAAAGAATACAACTGGGCCTGTGACTGAACCTCTTGAGCAACTTTTCTTCCTAGGTGAGTCCACTGTGCATTAATCTGAGTAGCCCATTTCTTCAAGTTTTTATCAGCTATTTTTTTTATAAGTCGTGGAAGCGGCTTCCAATCAGGAGGTATCCACAGCTATAATTTAAAATATTATTTTGACCTAAAAACATCAGTCTAACGCCATACCTAAGAGACCAATAACCTCTAATTCTTTGGCATCTTCAAAATGATCAGAAATAAAATCTCTCAGAGCCTCTTTTGTTGGCCGATGTTTACCAAACTGATTGCACATATTTTCATAGTTCATTAAGACCTTAAAATGATTGAATATAAAATGGTATTATGAATGAATATATAGACATTAAATAATAGCAATTTTAACTAACTGGTGTATTACTTCATACACTGGTCTTTTCAGCTTTTTGTCGACAAATACTTTAGAATTCGGAAATAAATCTGCCATTTGGATTGTTTTGAGAAGTCCTCCAGAACAATAAATGAACCTATTATTAAATTGATCAAATACATATAATAGATGAAATAAGTTGATTGCATGCATTATTAGCTAGTTGTAATTAATTATTAGTTATCATTTTTATAAGTTCCTGATATTTTCCAGTTGTCTCTTGTCTTGAATAAAAGGAATAAATTTGAACTAAATAACATTTTATTCTTTAATGCCATTAGTTTATGATTTATTAAAAGCTAAATATATGGTGCAATTGTTTTAAATCCTAGTTTAAATTACATTTTTTGATTTCATTCAAAAAGAATATTTCTGAAAAGGTGTCTCATACGAATCTTGAAGAAATCAAATGATTTTGCTTTGCCTTCCTTAAAATTTCAAGGTATTTTCAATAAGGAAATCCTTTAAAATAAGAATTATTTTTTGAGATATAGCAAAATAGAAGTGATGCAAAATTTAAGGGATTTAGGAACTCGACTCTGATTCTGCAAAAAGTGACCTTTTCTAATTTCAATCCATTTTGGTGACTTTAAATAGAAAGTAACTCATAATGAAAAAAAAATCCTTTCATTGAGCTTGGAATAATTGAACAGACAATTTGTCATTCATCATGCTTTCCACTGTAGGCACTTACCAAGTTTGTGAACACAATTACATGAAATATATGTAGATAGAAATTAATTTATATTTTATATTTGGGTATAAACTCTCACTTATTATGATCACAAGCCATCATCACGCTTTGAGACTGTAAGTTACTCATTTGAAAAGTTATGTTTGTTTATGTTGGTTCACAATTAAACTTAAATAATGAGATACTAGCCAGCATTCGATAGAAAATTATGACTGCAAATAAATGATATTTTATACACCAAAATTATTGAAGAAGCAGAGGAATCTCTCAAACCACTAAAGTGCAAATTTATAAAACTCTGGTAAGACCAGTGCTTATTTATGCTTATGAATTGGACATCATTCAGAACATAGGTGGCTCTTCTCCTTAAGGTATGAAAGGTGAATACTGAGAAGAATTCACTGCCCTATTTATGCCTATAGAACTTAGGCGATATGCATGAATGGTGAAATGAAAATCTATAGTTGTACATTTATAGTAAGTGTAATAAAAGTGGGACATCTTCGATGGAAGGAGTAGTTAGAATTGGTAGAAAACTCTTTGATGAAAGGGTTTATGAATAAAATATATTGATTAATGGAGTAGCAGTGAATACAAGATCTGTCAGAACAAACCAAAACTGTACAGTGGCTGCCACTAGGAGAGATAGAAAGCTTGACAAAACTACAGGAAGCCTTTGATTTTTCCATACGTTGTAGTGCCATGAATAGTGAAAACTACTCATTTAATTACTACTACTAAAAAAAATGGTATTATCATTACCAGTCTAATTAAAATATACAATTAATAAGCTATAGAAACTTGAAAAAAATAAAGTTTCTAAAGTTTTAAATCATTTATTAAATGTACTATGTTTCATTCTGAAACTACCTCTGGAAGATGGGTAGGAACCTTTTTACAGCAAGAATTACCATCACTGCTTCTTACATTTATATCAAGGGCACATTTTATCTACCAAATTCAAGTAGAAATCCCTAGAGAAGATGACTGTGTTGCAAAGTTCACAGAGGCAACCTGTCTTTAAAAGACCCGACCTCAGCGGAAAGGGCCCATAAGGGATATCATTTGAGCCAGCCAACCCTTAAACATAGTTCTCAACCATACTATTTCTGTTCTCCTGTCAAAAATATGCTGTATGACAGTGAATTTTCAAGCAAACACGACAATTATGAACTTGCACCGTCTTTGTTGAATTTTTTTCATCTGGTGATGTATAAAATAGCAATTCTATTATTTACAAGAGTATCCTGAAGTTGCAACGTATATATGTGCAAGATGTCTCCAACTTCTTCACTCCATATTATTGAAAAGCGGTCCACCTGTCAAGTATATCTTCTGACCTAGAGATCCTACAGAAAGTGCCAATCAGGAAATATAATAAGGGATAAGGACTGAAAAGCCGAAATTACAGTAGTAAGATTAGGCAGTGCAGGATACCAGGAAAATGCTGGATGTGCGGAACTGGAAAGCGGCTGCAGAAGAGAGAAATCAAAGGGCTCTAGGGATATTTTTTATCGTCAATACCTTGTTAAATATATATTATTTACCACCAGAATCCAACCTCGTCATTTATAATGTACGCCACATGAATACTGTGTAAATATATTACACTTTTTTTTTTCTTCCCTTCCTTGCCTTTTAAGATAAACGGATTTTTTCCCGGTTCAGGGGAGAGGTCAAGATAATATTGCCAGAGTTAAAAGTTCCTTTGGCACCGGGATTTGAACTCATAATCTTCGGTTTATCATCTTTGTTGCTGTCCAATGTGAATTTTACACACGCGTTAGGCCGATCTGCCACTCCACCCTCAAGATATTACACAATTATTATTTAATATGTGTATTGTAATGGTATAAATTAAAAATAAAATCTTGTATTCCTAGCTGTTCCCCCTTCTTTCAGGGGTTGTAAATTGAATGACGTAATTATTTATTTGGGAGCAGCAAAGTTTCAAATGTTAATGAAAAGTTTCATTTGGCTACCACTAGAGAGTCAGCGTACTACTTACTTCACTTTAACAAATTATTATATTTATTGATTTAGGATTTTTCGATATCGTTCATACGTCCGACTATTCCGTATTTCTTTGATTTAAATAATTCCTAATAAGATAATTATTGTATTTTTATATTTTTGTAATAAGTGATGTTACCTTCTGGGCAGATTACGTTTTTTTCCTATGATATTAAAAAAATGCATAATTGGATTATGCATCAATGAACTATTAAGATGAAATTCAAATCCTCTTCTGTCTACATCTATCCTTTTTAATAAGTTTGATCGGCTACATAAATTTGGCTTAAAAATCAACGTCATCTTTTCCACTGGGTACTAATTTTTTAAAATGAAAAATCGCAAACTGCGTGCAATATTTCGCTCCTACATGTGTTCTGTATTAAACGACAATGTATTTTTAAATTTTTCATTGTTGCATTGAATGGCATGACTTTAAAAATAATATAGATACAAAAGCTATCTTTCATTCACAAGAAAGGCGATTTTAGGATCTGTAAATCGTATTTAATTAGTTAGTTCACAATTAGAAGATTCATGTACCCAATTATTGATTTTTCTATAAACAATTTACTTAAAACTATTATTATCTCTGCATATTCTAAGATAAAAGTTGTAAATGATGTTTAATGAAAAACTCGAAGGGAGTTCGGATCCTCTGACAGTGTTATTGCAACAAACCATACATTACAAACAATTTTTCATGAACTAGAGCCTCGTTTTTCTCATTTATTTTAGTTGTTGCTAAAAAAAACTCCCAAACTATGCGCTTAATAGACAAGCTTAAATCATACTTTTTTTTTTTAAAGTTATTAAAATTTGTTTCAATTTGAGATCAAAATGAGCTTTATGGAACCATATAGATTTTCATACATTTACTCATTTCCTCAAAAAACTGAAACGTTTTTTTTATCGTCTCTTATTTTGTGAATTATCGCTAAATATATTTTCTTTATGAAACTATTCTTGAAGAAAGAATTTGAAGTAAATTTAATTAGCTTCTGTTTCTGTCAATAGGAGATTATTTACGCCCATTGGTTTTCTTATAAATCATAGATATCCAATAACATAATCAACCAGAATGGATAACCGAAAGTGCATCAAGAAATACAAAATAAAAACTGTTCAAGTTGTAATTGACAATTTTTAATTAGTTCTGATAAATATTATAGAGATAAAGATATAAAGTGTAAGACGGGTGTACAGAACCCCAAGGAATGATCATTCTTAAAACATAGATAAATATAATAAAAAATTAACAAATTTCAATGATTTTAGTTAGAATTTAATTCTTTAATACATTTTTGAAATGTTTGAAACTTTAAACATGTAATACTATATGTCGTCAAAAGGTGTCGCTAATATCCGATTTTTATTAAATCCAGGATTAATAAAAAAAAAAGAATTATAAATTTAATAAATAAATAATAATAATGTTTAATGAATACTGAAAAAATGATTATACAACGAATAATAAATATCAGTAATGAAAAGTTTTAATGCAACACTGGAGAGGATTCATTCCTTCATGTTTAGCGCCAATATCAGTCTTGTTTGATTTCGGTATCAGTCATACAAGTTGTTTACTAGTATGTCATTATTTTGAAAGTTCATTCGGTGGAGTATCATGAGTAAATCACCTCAGAAAAAAACCTGGAAAGGAAAAGGTCGAGGTAGAGGAGGGTATTTTAAGGGGAGACCTTTTATTTTTGAAAAGAAGAAGTTAGATCCTTGTAAGTTCATTTCTTTATTCATCTATTTGTGTAAAATTATTAATTCTCCTTGTTAAATAAAAATTTAAGTACATTAATGAAAAATAATTAGTAGTAAACTATATAAATAAGAGTATTTCGGATAGTGAAAGTGGTTCTTTTGGTTATTTATTTTGCAATATATTTTCCATTAAATCACTGATAACAGCAAAGAATAATAATTAAAAAATACAATGTCTGTTTGGTTGGTAGTTCAATGTCACATCAATTGTACAATAAATAAGACTCATACCTGTATCAAAATTTTGTTTTCGCTTAGTGTTTTATTATTGTACATATCTTATCACCTAAAAGCACCAGGCCTCCTAATTAAATTCATTTATTTTTAATTTATTCATTCGAATGAAATTTTATTGTTTCTCTAGCGGTTTTTAATGAGTCCAACTCAAGTGCTGCTTCAACCCAAATATTTTATGATAGAATACCTTATAAAGGATGGCGGTATTATTTTCCCGAGGAAGGTAAGTGTTCTAAGATATCTTTTATTACTTTTATGAAAAGTGTTTTACTCAAATTAATTCTACTTATTTATTATTCCAGCTTATGACTCCAATTCTGATATAGTATTGCATACTCAAGCAGCTGAATATTTTTTTGACAAAAATAAAACATCAATTAATCTGAAAGAACTGGAAAATAAGAGATTTTTTAATTTAGATATTAAAGTGTTGCTTGATGATTCAGAATTTCTTTCTAGATGGTGCACATTCAAAGACGATTTAGTAGAAAATGCAGAAAAAAGTATATCTTGCATGAGTTTGGCTTTGCATCAGGTATATTTTAAAATTTCAATTATTAACCTTCCTTTATTTATTTATTTTTTTTTAATTCTACCTTTTGTTATTTTAGACGGTTACATCTATTTTGAAAAGTGAAGATGAGGCTGAATTTCCATCTGTGAAAGTGAGATTCATAAATTTTGAGTCTATTACACCTATTAAAGATATCAAAGCTGGTTTATATGGTAAGTTTTTGGCCCTTGCTGAAGTTACTTTGTGAGCATTATCCTTAAGTTGCTCAAGTATTTGTAGACATGTTCCCTCATATTTAGCTTTTACATAAATAACATTTTAATTTGATTTTCCTGTAAATCAGTAACAGTTGCTAAGTTCACCGCTGCGTGAAAAATTCCCATAATCTTAAGCTTGCACTCTCAAGATTTCAATTTTAATAATGATTCTTGCCTGCTATATATTATTCTTATAAACAACATAACCTTAGAGTTACTGCTGGTCTGGTACTGCTTCTTGTGGGGAAATTTGTCTGGTATGTGGGTCTAATGATCCTTTTTGCCCACCCCTGATGGCTACCTCGAGGTTGCTGCCGCGTACTTACCAGACTGGGAGTGTCAAGATTTTCCAGGCACGGTGAGAATCAAAAATTAACCAACCCGTTTTGGATTAAAAAATTTGTATTTTACTAAATCCATTCTTAGCAAACATTTAAACAGTTAAATTTAGAAAATCAGCTAAAAAAAACCAAAAAGGTCTCATTTGGAAAATGCTCACAGAAACGCATATTTTGTAACAGTAAATTAAAAAACTTATGCTGGATTAATTTACATTTTGTTCTCTATTAACTTATAATTTTCTATACCATATTTAAGGTAAACTGATTAGTGTCAGAGGAACAGTTATAAGAGTTAGTGGTAATAAACTTATTTGTGTTTCAATGGGGTTTGGTTGCAACACGTGCTATACCACAATGTCCATTCCTCTCAAGGATGGAGTCTATAAAATGCCTTCTGGCTGCAAAGCTGATAACTGCAGATCCAAAAGTTTCACCCCACTTTGCTCATCAAACCTATCACGGACAAAGAGTTATCAGATCATGAAAGTCCAAGAAAGTGTTGCAGATGAACAGGTTTGATAAATCTAGAATATTTAAACCTATTTCACAATAGTATTAAATTGAAAATTTTAATTAATTATGCCTTGCTAGAGCGAAGGTGGCAGAGTTCCTCGTACAATTGAAGTTGACCTAACTGATGATTTAGTTGATTCTTGTGGTCCAGGAGACAATGTGACAATTGTTGGAATTGTTAAAGTAAATATAATTGAATATTTATTTTTAAGATAATAATTGACTTGAAACTATGATATAAATGAATTTTGTTATAGATAAGAAACAGCGAAGAAAATAGAAAATCAAAATCTGCTAATCTATTTACTCTTTACGTTGATGCTGTTTCTGTTGTAAATAGCAAATCAGGAGTTAACTCTGGAAGGCAAAGTCTCTGTAGTGTTGAATTCTCAATAAAAGATTATTATGCAATACAGGTATTAAGTTTTCTTTGTTAGATATTTCTTATGAGTATGTATTTATCAAAATATCACTTATTTACTTATCAATTTGAAATTATTCTCTTCCTATGGTCTGGGAATCCTAAAGAAAAAAGTAGAGTTCATTCTATTCTAAACCTTTGTGACAGCTATCATTTGTTATAGGAAATTCATGCTGAAGAAGCACGGTTCCGTTTACTGGTCAATTCACTTTGTCCAACTGTCTATGGTCATGAAATGGTTAAAGCTGGTCTTTTGTTAGCTTTGGTTGGTGGTTCCTCGGCAAACAGACGAGCAGATGCTCATGTTCTTGTTGTTGGTGATCCAGGATTGGGAAAATCACACTTACTTCATGCTTGTGCTCAAGTTTCTCCAAGGGGTAAAAGAAACTAAATTTGTTATTATTCTATATTTGTTTTTATAAAATACTTTGTATCTGTTATGATTCTTTAGTTATTTTATAGAGATAGAAGAACTTATAATTTAATTGTGTTTTGGTTGGGAATTTAATTGGAGATTGCCCAGTGGAAAACAAATAATTTTATTTTAATGAAAATTATTTTTTTCATTTGCAGTCAACTATTCTTCAACCATCAATGGTTTTTTAATTGAAAATTAAGTCAGTGGTGCTTTGTTGTACAGTTTCTTGAACCAGGAACCATATAGTGAACCTTAATTGTTTTAGTTGATATATTATATTAATATTTGATGTTATTCTTTTTTTTTTTTGAGCAGGAGTTTATGTTTGTGGCAATACAACTTCCTCTTCTGGTCTTACGGTAACGTTAGTTAAGGAAGCAGGTGGAGATTTCGCCCTTGAAGCTGGAGCATTGGTTCTTGCTAACCACGGCTGCTGTTGTATTGATGAATTCGATAAAATGACCAATCAACATCAGGTCATTATCCATTTATCATTATAGTATATTGCCTGATTTGATCAAAACATATAATTATCATTTAAATTATTTAATAATTAGCTGTTGATTTGATTTCCAAGGCCCTTCTTGAAGCTATGGAACAGCAGAGGATCAGTGTGGCAAAAGGTGGTGTTGTGTGCTCCTTGCCTGCACATGCTTCGATTCTGGCTGCGGCCAATCCCGTTGGAGGACACTACAATAGATCAAAAACAATTGCTGAAAATCTTAAAATGAGTGCTGCACTGTTGTCTAGATTTGATTTGATTTTCATCTTACTGGATAGACCTGATGAAGTATGCATTAAATAAATTTAATCATAAATCGATCTTTTGCCAACTGGCATCATTTCTAAACCACATTAATTTTTCAGCACTTAGACAGCATGCTTTCTGAGCATGTAATGACACTACATGCTGGACTCAAAGGGAAGAAAAAACTTATGTCTGTTAATTCAATGTGTTCTTCTTCTTGTGCAGAAGAAACTGATGATCCGAAACAACCTCTAAGGTATATTTTTAATTTAAATATTTTATATTAGATCATAAAAAGGATTAATCCCCCTCTCCTTTCCCCGCTCTTTATGATCATTTCATTACAGCAATAGATTAAAATTGAAATATGGAGAACCAGTTGACTTAGTGCCACATAGTCTTTTAAGAAAATACATAGCATATGTTCGTAAATATGTTCCTAATCCAAAGTTAAGCGTTGAAGCTGCTAAAGTTCTTCAAGATTTTTATCTCGAGTTGAGGAAAATGCAAGACACAACACCTGTTACTACTAGGCAACTAGAATCAATGATCAGACTCACCCAGGTACAGATGCAAAATAAATTTTTATTCTGATAATCTTAAAATGTTGATTGAGAAAATTATTAATTGAAAAGATACTATTTCCACCTGTATTAATTTTATTAGTTACAATTTCAATGTTGTTCTTTTTTAAATAAAAAGGCAAGAGCCAAACTTGAGCTTCGTGAAGAAGCCACTACCGACGATGCAGATGATATTGTACAGCTAATGAGATGGTCAATGAGAGATGTAGTTACAGGAGATTTGGATCCAAAACTTTCCCAAAATGGAAGAGGAATGAGCCAAGGTTCTAAGGTATTTATTAAAGAATTTATATATTTATTGATAATTCAATTAACTAAATGTGTATGAGGATACACTTATTAATTGTCAATCCCCATGATAATTTATTTTGCTATACTGTATTATTTATTAATTCTTTTATTTAAGTTTTTCAAAAATCATTTTAGATTTGTCCTTATTTACTCAAAATATTATTATGCAATAGATTGTACTCGGTATGGCTGTGGATTCAACAATGTAAGAGCCAAGTTTATTTAGTATGCTATATGAATGCTTTTCGGGAGTACCCCCTGTCCGCCTAATGGCTGACCAATCTCCATTTTATAAAGTATACAACTGTTCATTTAACTGTACTACTTGTTAAAATTGTATAACTATAATTTACTTGTATTCTGTAGTTAAAATTGTATTATTTTTTATTAACATAAAATAAACAAAACGAAACCACAGTTTAAATGAAATTTTAATTTCATTAAAAATTTATATTATACATCGTGCCTTATTACCAATTTATATTAACATATAATGATAATTATTCTTATAGCCAATTTGTAACCATAAGAATAAGAAGTGTTTGTCTTTGTTATGGTCCGTCATCGCTGGTGTCTTCATTTTGGTCCGTTCCACATTGTATATCCAATGTATTCCACTCATTCCAATGTATCCATTGTATTCCACATCGAACAGCCCAACCAACTCGATCCTTTCCAGTCTGGTTTTCGACCAGGTTACTCCACGCAATCCGCCCTAATCAAAATCATTAGTGATGTTCAGTCCGCTATAGATGACAAAAAACTAACTGTCCTTGTATTCCTTGACTTTTCCAAAGCCTTTGATACCATTAACCATTCCATCCTTTTCTCCAAATTAAAATCGTTATCCTTTTTCAACAGCTCTATCCTTTGGTTTCAATCTTTGCTCTCTCAACGTACCCAAGCAGTCTCTGTTCCTAACCAACCTTTATCTTCCTATCTAACCCTGTCCTCAGGAGTGGCACAGGGCTCTAGCATATCTCCTCTCCTTCTTAATTCATATATTAACGATCTTCATAAATCAATCCTTCACTGTTCCCATCACCTTTGTGCCGATGATTCCCAAATTTACTTCTCCTTTGCTCCCTCAGAGTGGCATGATGCGTTTGCCAAAATACAAGAAGACCTAAATCGCATCTGTGCTTGGGCAAATGAAAATAGATTAAGATTAAACGCTGCTAAAACTCAAGCCATTGTCATTGGTTCCAAACCTCTTCTCAGATCCAATACCAACATTCCTCTCCTCTAACTAAATGACCAACCCATCACCTTCAACTCTTCAGTTAAAAACCTAGGTATTTTCATAGATCAAACCCTCTCCTGGAATCACCATATTTCTGAAATATCCCGACGCTCAATTTCCACCCTGAAACTCTTCCATCGCTTCCGCCATCTCCTACCCATGTCCACACGTAGACTCCTAGTATCCGGCCTTATCTTCCCCCACCTTGGCTACGGCTGCGTAGTGTACGGTGGCCTCTCAACTGGGCCAGGGAACTGGGAAACAGATTGAAAAGAATCATGAATGGCTTAGTAAGATTTGTCAATGGAACCCCGAGACGTTCTCGTGTATCTCACTACTACGCCGAGTTAGTGTGGCTCTTCCCCTCCTTCAGAAGACAATATTTCCTAGCTACATTCCTTTACCAAATAATCCATAATCATCGTCCGTCCTACGCATTCAATCGCCTTCAATTCAAGTCATCTATCCACTCCATCTCCACAAGATCTCGTCCTTCTGACCTTTATACCCCTTTCCACAAATATGCCTCCTTTCAACACTCCTTTATTGTCCGTTCCACTACCTTTTGGAATTCCATCCCACTTAAAATCCGCCATGCACCATCCCTATCCATATTTAAAACCCTCCTATTCCAATTCCTCCTTACAATTCAATACGACGCTGGGTAGCCATTTATCATGTAACAAAATTGCATTTTTCTCTATTTATCATTCGTATATAAATATATATTCTTTTTTGAGCTTGGGAAAGATGTCTAGTCACGTTCTGTAATGTAAATGTAATAAGGTAAATACTTCTGCTATCACTTAGTTTTTAGTTATTTTTTTTTATTGTAATATGTATTTTGGCCAGATGGAATGTTAATTTTTATGTACAAAATTGTTATTCTTAAGGGACTTTGTCCCAGAATAAAGTTGATTCTTCTATTCTATATGTAAAATAAAGTATGGTTTGTTGACCAAAAACTTTTTTATATAATAGAGAGAAAATTTTTTTATTAAAAATTAAAATATATTTTAAAATTATTCTCTATTTTCAGAAATGTTGAAATTTATGTTTAAAAATTGGTCTCATGTATTGAGCATTTTGCCCTTTGAGGCAACATTTTTGTAGAAAAAAATTTGTTTTGTTTTTTTCAGGCAAAGAGATTTATAGGAGCATTGCAAAAGAAGGCAAATTTCGAGAATAAAGATACATTCACTGTTGGAGAAATGAAAGAATTGATAAAATCACTTAATCTGCAGGTGCAGGACTTCTATCAGTTTATTTCTATTCTGAATGTTCAAGGTTTTATCATCAAAAGAGGCTCAGATAGATATAAGCTATTATCTGTTTAATAATTGTTCAGCCTGTGTTGAAAACAATTATCAATATTTATCAATATTTAATGTGATATATATTATGTATTTATTTTTTGTGAAATGAGTCTGTTTTTTTAATCAGTATTCAATTATTATTGGTTTATCGTATCTCTAATATTAAATAAAATTGTTTTGTTCTAAAAAGTGAATATTTATGTTTTAAATGAATAAAGTTTATTTTTTTTTAATCTTGTAGACACGTTTATCCCACCATGGTCCAATAAGTTACTTAAAGTTAGAAATATTCAAAATAAATAAGTTATACTGTTTCTGATAGTCAAGCATCATCCATTCTAGGACATTTCCCACTGCAATAAATATCTATTTTCTCCTTTACCTTTTCAATTGAATTTAATTTGACTTTTCGCTACTCTCAAGCTGAGATACCAGTTTTAGCTATAAGAAAAGATTAATAGAGGCTGGTGTGAATGAAAATTGTCTTATGATTTTAGTTTTGATATAAAAAACTATTATTAGAGATACGTGTTAAAGTAACACTACTAATGGAAAATGTTATCAGATTTTGGTCCCTATCTTTTATAACAGTCAATAGCGAAATTTTATTAAGATTTTCACGAATAGATATATATGAAATTAAATGTTGTGTCAAAGCTTATTGACATTAATAGTACAAATCTTTGCGAAATGTAAGTAACGTATCAATAAATATCGTTATTAACAATTAGTGAACCCTACCTGTGTTATCCATGATTGAGGGCTTATAATTTTTTTATTGAATGATAAATTAATCACTAAAACTACATAAACTCTTAATCTAATTTGATGAGAACTTTTTTTATATTTTAAAAATGTCCTTTTTTTAATGATACCAAAAAGAAATTACCCACAGCACCAAATAGTCGTGGTATGCCACTGTTAAAAATGTTATATCCGGTATAAACCAACTTTTTCATATCAAAATATGCTAGAACAGCACAGCAATGTTTATCATTGTCAAATATTCCACTTACATTTGTAGCAAATAAGAAGGTACTTTGCTGTTAATTGTTTGTATTTATCTTTAATGTTTACAAAAATAGTTAAAGCTGTTAACTTAATTTTGTAAATATATTTATTTATAAATAACTATAGGTTTAAATGAAAATTTCAAGTCTTAAAATTTCTTCATAACCTATTTTCATACATTACAACTATTTACAGACGAGGGAAGAGTTCATAGTAAAAGTTATTTAATGGATTGAAACAATATTCTACTTACTAAAGATAAAAAAAAAACTCAGGGGGCACCCGGGTTTGAACCGGGGACCTCTCGATCTGCAGTCGAATGCTCTACCACTGAGCTATACCCCCGAGGATGACGATTTGGTCTCATTAAATTATTATAAGTTTCTCGTAAATAAGTGCCACACAGTACCGACAAAACATTTAATTTATCGGCACAAATGGCTCTATACTAATTTTTTAATAGCGTATATTCATTCAACTATAGCTGTACACCTATATATAAAATGCTCACGAATCTGGGCTACATAACATCAATATTTAAGTTTTTACACGTAAAAGTTCAAAGAATTTTCCTTAAGCATGTCAGCTACTGGTGCATTTACCTTAGTTATTGTTGGGAGTTGCAGCCAGAAAGACCTCACAAATAAAAGTTAAAGATTTTTATTTTATTTCTTGTCGTCATTACCCTCATACTACACTTCCAATCTTGCAGAACTGTTTGCTATAAACAGTGCCGTTTGTAATCTCAACTGTAATAAACAGCAAATATATCTATATATCTTCTATATGTATAGCAAATATAGAATCTACCCTAAAGATATGAAAAATTCTTTTTCAACAAACTCATAAGTCACAGACACAGTTAGATATATAAAAACATTGGAGAGTGTTGGGTGTAATATACAATATTTGTGTTTATCGGGTCACTCAGATATTAGATGTAATAAGCTAGGATGTAAGAAGCTATCATAAGAACAGAAAAAAAAAAGCAATAAAGGAAGGAACTCCAGTAGGGGATGCTTTTACAAAGAGAGCAGTAGCTTTGGTAAAGAGAAAGCCTCTTAAGAAATGGCAGGGTCTCTGGCATGTTTTAAGGGATAATAAGTTAAGAGTGATAGAGCCCTCTGAAGTTCTAAGTCGAGCGGACCTCCTGTTGAACAGAAGAGAAGAAATTATCCTGACAAGGTTACGAATTGGATACTCGCGGCTTACTCATGAGTACCTAATGACAAAGGGACCCTCTCAGTGTTTTAGCTGCGGGGTCAATTTAACAGTCAGGCCCATCTTGGCTGAGTGTAATACCTATGAGGCACAACGGAATGAAGTGGAATTGGAGAATAATATTACTGAAAGTTTTAAAAACACCACCAAAATGACAGAAATATTGTTTTTATTTCTTCAAATAACGTACCTATATAACAAAATTTAATTTTTACTTACACTTTTTTTGAAAGTTTAATGTTTTAAATATTTAGTACTTTCAAATTTATTATTAAATTTTATCTTGTGTAATATAAATACTGTGTAAGGTCTTTAATGAACCGTAAGAGGTTGAGAAACTCCACATTGTTATAAATAAATAAATAAATAAATTTTTTTTCGTCGTTTCGGCCCAAGCTGCTGGCCTTCATCGGGGCTACTACACCTGCATTTTTCAAATAAAAAACAAATACATAGTTAACAAAGTAGGTAGTAATCGATACATCGATCGTGAACGTCAAAAGATAACCAGTTAAAGGTTTTGTTAGTAACAGCTCTTTGCCATGTAATTAGATATTGTTATCAGCCAATAGTGTGTATTCCGTCTGTGATAGTGTAACATTTCATTAATTTATTATTAATTAATAGTAATGGTAAATATTTTAGTGAAATTTTAAAGATAGTATTTAAAATGCATCACTTAAATATTTTATTAGCTTCCCTGACATTTGTAGTAAGTATTTTTTAAAATAATTTTTCAAAAAGTTATTTGTTTTTAATAAAATAGATGAAAAAAATTAAACATAAACTCTTAGAATTACTATAAAGAAATGTTAATTTCAGGTGATCTTCAATGAGTGCAAGGGACACTTCACTGCAGAAGATTGTTGGGCCATAGGAATGAATAAAGCCAGTCTTTTATGTTCTACTTGTGACCAATTACCGAAATATGATTTAGAATTTATGAAGTAATTATTTCACAAAAGTATATTTCAATAAAATCACTCCAATTTTATCCTTTGAAAAAAAAAAAACCCTGGAAAGTTGCTAAATTTCTTCCTACTGATTCACTAATAGGTGGTTATGTGCTAATACAATTCCAGACATATACATTCTTTCAGTGAATTATATTTTAGTAAATGAAGCTTTTATAATTCAGATAAGTCAAGTTATGTAGTAGTTTATAAGTGTTATGTCTGATTGATGGTTGGTGAATGTCACAATCGTTTATACTGTACACAGAATCTCCAAAATAGCTGAGTGTATTCCAAAGTATATGGTGGAGACGGATCTTGTTAAGATATGGACTTAATATAATGGGAACTTATGAGGGTTTGTCTGTTTCTTAAGTGATATAATTTAAGATTTTCACCCGTGAACTTAATTGTCAATACTTCACTGCTTTCAAAATTCCATGTACAGTTATAAGTGATTTTGATTCACCTTGCAAACAGGTGTGACACCTGTGAAACAGTGCCCAAACTAGTCTAGTGTAAAGATCAAGTTATGCTGTTTTAATGTTAGAATTAATATAAAGAAATTATCTTGGTTCTAAATCTGATTTTCTCGTAAAATTATTGAGATCAGCCAAGATGAGAAACATGGTCTAACAAATTGTTTCTAGGTTCACTCAACCTTTTTATGAATACATACCATAAGGGCTGAAGGTAATCATCTACAGAAACATTTATTGGCTAGTTTTAATGTATAGAGTTATATGTATTTATTTGTTCATTTTTTGTAGTAAGGCTAGCTTTCTTTTCATTTTTTTTTCTGTTGTCATTATAGACCATTTATATCTTCTTGGGCTATTTCTTTCCATTTATCTACACTTTGTTCATTTATGTATCATTTATCATTTATCAGTTCTATTGCATCTTTGTTGATTCTCTCTATCCGTCTGCTTTTTGGCCTTCCACTTGGTCTTTTGCCTTCTATTGAGGCATTCATTGTTAGGTAGAGGCTTCCAGATGGATTGCTACGAGCTACATGCCTTGCCCATCCTAACCTCTGTGCCTTTATATTATGGGATATGTATTGACCAGTTTCTGTTAGCAGCTCTTTATTGGTCTTTCTTCTCCTTCTGTTAGTACTCTGATCCCAGATCGCTCCGGATATCGTGGGAAGGATTTTTCTCTCGAATCTTTCAACACCTTTTTCCATGGTGCTGGTTAATGTTCACTTCTCACAGCCATATATTAGAATTGGCTTTATCATAGCATTGTAATATAAATAATTTGAGATTTCAATACCTTTGAGAGGGAGAAGAAAGCTCAGTAATACGCTAGTCTATTTCTATAAGGTAGTTATTCATTGAGGTATTTGTGGAGCCAAGGTATTTGTATTTTTCTACTCTCAGGAATGATTTTTCCTCTATGCAGGTTCTGTTAGTGGGGTGGAATTTTTTACTTATTATCATATGTATTATTTTGTCTTCATTTACTTGTAGGCCGGTCTACTCTGCCTCTCTTATCAGAGTTGTAGCAAGTTTCTCATTGTCCTCTTGGTTACTTAAAAGAACAGTTATATCATCTGCATATCCAAGGATTTTATGATTCATTCCGATGTGGACCCCTCTATTTTCCTGTGATGTTGCTCTTATTACCTTCTCCAGGACTAAGTTGAACAATATCGGTGATAGTACTTGTGATTTGGTTGAATTGTATGTAGTCAGATATAGCATGATACTTGATACTGTATGCACAAAGTTGACTATAATTAATTGTTTGATTTCCATTTTACTTTGTTACATAATTGGTACTATGTAATTTTTTTTCTATATGATGCTTCTAATATAATCTATAAGAATATATTTAAATAAATCTCTTATGGTTATTTACATATTATTCCTAAGTAATTCGACTTAAAACATTCCCATATTTCGGATTGTAGAAAAAAAAACAACAGAAAGTCAATTATATATAAATTTATTTATTATTGTTTATTATCAGGGAGAACTGCTTGAATTGCTGTACCCGAGAAGAAGGTACTTCTGCTATCAAGAGATATCCAAGAGCTAGTTTAGAAGTGTGTACATGTAAATTCGGTGCTTACCCACAAATACAAGGTAATATTTTTTTAATAGTAACAATTTTAAATTAAGAATATTTTCCTTATAATTTTTATATGATGATTTTAGCAGTTCTATTAATCATATAATTTAAATATTACTGCGGTTTAGCAAAAGTTTTTTGCTTTGGTTCCCTATTTGAATAAACAATTTTTGTTTTTGTCCAACACAGTTTTTCTTAATATGGGGATAAAATTGAATCTTTTCTCATGTCAAAATATAATTAATCTTTTCCCTAATATAATCCTAAATGTAATTGATTTTAATTTTACTTATTTATTTGTAAGTATTAATTTATGAATGTTTAGAATGCCTAGTCACCAAAGTAGTAACGGTTTTGAATATAGATGTTAAATATTGAAATTAAATTTGTATAAGCTTGGAGCATCTAATTTCAGAAGTCCTGAAATAGTAAGTAGATCATAGTCATAATGGATTAAATAAGCAATTGAGATATAATGTAAATGCATATTAAGAGAGTTCTAACATCAGCATACATAAAGGTTTCACCTCTAATTACTCTTTTATTTTGGCACTTCTCAATGATCGTGTTGAAATTAATTGTATTCTTCTAGTCATAATATCTATTTTCTAACCTCAAAAGGTTGATTCACCAAGTCAGTATAACAATCTCCCTATATATCAAGACTGTTAAAAAAATTGCAAGACATTAAATTCATGATGTTTATTGCCAAATTCTAATAATAAATATGTTATAACAAAGGTGCCATCTATTTATTAACTAATTTTAGAGAGAGGCAATCATTGTTGAAAGCAGTGTTTCAGTGTCTAGTGAAAGCAAAAAAATAAATTGAAAACTTAAACAAGCACAAAATGCTCCTTCATTGGATCTTTGTAAATTCACTCACAGTTAATGTGTACAACATACATTTTATGCACTGTAACATACATTTTTAATTTTTTATCCATAAATATTAATTCACCATTGATTTAATTTTCTTTTCCAATTTATTTATTTTAAGCCAATTTTACATCAATCTTTAATTTGGTCAACTTAATGACTACAACATCTTAATTACGATGTTTCAGCTCGTCGAGCCGTTTTCAAGTCTAAAAGAAATTTTTCAATTTACAATCATATCTAAAAATTTTACATATTTCAAAATATAAAGATTTTTTATACTTTAATTTTCAGCTTTTATCAAGAGTGATAAACCACATAAGTTTCCGAACCTAACCATTCGATACGTGAGAGGACTTGACCCCATTATCAAGCTCATGGATGAGTCTGGTAATGTGCAAGAAGTATGTATTGTTATTATTAAATAATAGTATAAAATAAATATATCTTATTACCATTTCAATCAACTCTATTAATTTTTAGGTTTTAGCCATTGAGCGTTGGGATACTGATACTGTAGAGGAGTTCTTGAAGACCCATCTCGAGACAGATTCTGATAAAGATTACCTGAGGACTAACAGGATTTATTGAGATAACTTATGTAATTTGAATAATTTGGTGCATTTATAATGATGTGTCTTGTACAGTCATTATACTACCAAAATAGTTTAAGGTTTTTCTAAATCCGTCAGGTACATTGGAGAGATATTATTTCTTTCATATTTAAAGAAAAAGTATTTCATTCCAGTGGTAGGGTCTTGGTTTTCCTTTTGAGTCTTCCATAAAAAAGCTGGCAATAAATAAAAAAGTATTCAGAGGATTCCTTTATTAGGATTATTTCATCTGCTGAAGTAATTTTACTTGATGTTTGTCATTACTGTTTTGTGCTACTGTCAATATCTTTTTCATAATATTTTTTGTAAAAATAAAATTATCTGGTGCTTGAAATTTATATTTATGATGTACAATTTTAAAATATAATAATGATAAACCTTTCCAATTTATTTGTTCCCTTTTTTCTCATTAATCTTGTTTGGGCAGGAATGGTATTGATTTAGCCAAAAACTATCATCCACAAATCCTATACACCATACACAGGATGTATATCCCATCTGGAAAACTTTTGTCTTCAGTACTAAGACGGATTCAAAGTGGGTTTTCTCTCCAATACTTATTTGGATCTTACCTATGCCAAATGATCAAAACCCTGCGATCAGTTTCCTACCTCTACAGTTTTATACGTCTCAAACCAACAGTTCACTCATAGAGTACAAGATCCTGTGTTAGTGATGTCTGTATCTCGTCCAAATTAAAACTTTCAAACATTCCACTGCCTTCTAAAAATCCTTGACATCTAATATGTGCCATGCTTCTTCTCTGTCTTCATTCAATTTTTTTTTTTTTTCAATACCTTCTCACTTTCCAAAAGCTCTGGCATTGTGAAATTATCATTAATAAAGATATAGTATAGTATATGAAATGATTATTAATGTCTTAATAATTATTATTAGTTAATAAAGATCAGTGATGTTCAGTTGCAACTATTTTGATTAATTGGAATTTTCTCTAAAAAGGACCGAAAAAGAAAATTAAAGAATTTTATAAAAAAATGTGTGTAAACACCACCCTGCATACCAGAAATATATATATACACACACACGCATGTATATATGATAAATATAAGATATTTTATTAATTCTAAAATACATATACATAAAAGATTATACTAATCTTGACTCCAAATTTGTGCAATCAGGTGGGTTGTCTTGTCTGCAAATCACAAGCTTAAATTGAATATTTTATATACAGTGTCTTCAAGGAATATATAAGCCCTTATATTTTCAAATATTTTTTATTTTACTTCCGACTTTTTGATTAGCTCATTATCAAGTCATCTATAAATAACAATTAAAATTAAGCAAACTAATTTACAACTCTGGTCGCTCATTATCTGGTCATATAACGAGTGAGAACTTACCAAAACATTTTTTATATTCTAATTTCATGAACTACTATTTGTAGCACACCAATTTTCATCGAATAAATATATTCCTCGTCACCATCTCCCTTAAATTTGTGTGCATTAATTGATGCATGTCCCTACAGTAAAAATTTATGTGTGCAATTATTTCAGTAATTATACAATTTCTATTACTGATTACTATTTTTTTATTTAAACTTTATGCTCATCCAGTATGGTACTACCTCCTTCATCTACTTTGTAATATTGACTGTACATATGAACTCTTTATGGATGTATGGCTCGGTAGGAATTAACTAATGATTGAATGGGATCTAGCTCTGTTGATGTCTGTTGCCCTATCTCATTGGACTAGTTGGCCTATATTTTTGACACCAGATTTAAAATTGACTGAGTTACTTATGTTTTTAGTAATATGAATTGATTCCAATGTTTTTCTAATTTTATTGTTTTGTGCTGTGTTTAAAATTTTTATATTGTTGAAATCAAATGTATGATTTTTAATATTCTTTAATTGGATAAAGTTGTGGATTTTATGTTTTTTGGATTTTTTACATTCGTTTTGTGATATTTCTTAAATTTTATGATGTTTCACCAACATAATGTTTGGGACATTGTATACACCGAATTTTATATATCACGTCTTTTTTATCTATTGAATTTGTTCTATCTTTCATATTGGATATGTATCTTTCCAGTTTATTATCATTGTATAGTTCGAATTTGAGTTCTTAATGATCATATTTCTTAAAACCATTTTTTATTTTTTCCGTCAATTTCGGAATGTAATTTAATTTGTAATATATATTATATTCACTGTATTGTTTTTCTGTATCCATTTGATCGTCATCCTTTGCTTTTTCCTCGCCGTCCAACACTTTAAAATAATCCGTTATGAGATATTTATTTCTCTTATTCATATTGTTATTTTTTATGTTAATATTCTTTTTAGGTATTTTATCTTGCCTACCATCTTTCCTATTATCATTATTTTTATTATTTTTACATTCATACCACAGTTTTTTGACAAATTTATATGGATAAAAATTATTCACCAAAATATTGTATATATTGTTTTTAATCTTCTTCATATATTTGGTGTCAATAAGTTTTATTGCATTATTAATCAGATTAACAGCGGTATTTATAATCTGATGTTTAGGGTGGTTCGAGTAATAATTTAATATGAGATCACTGCATTTTTTTTTCCTAATCCAATATGTTTCTATTTGAATTTTGTTTATTACGATATTGATATCCAAGTATCTTATAATATTATTTATAGGTTTTTCTATTGTAAATTTGATCTTTTTGTTGGCATTATTTAATAATTCAAACAATTTTTCATAACTACCATTTTTCTGTGAAAATGGGTAAGTCATCAATATATTTCAGCACTATAATTGGCTTATCTTCCATTTTATTAATTTATTCCATTAACATTTTATTTAAAAATAACCACTTAATAGTACTGATATTTCTACTTCCCATTACTAGACCAGTTGCCTCTTTGAAATAATTGTTATTAAATTAAAAAAAAAATATTGCTTGCACATAATTTTAATCCCTCCATAAAAATAATTTTATTTTTTATATTAGTTTGATTTTTTATTTTGTTCCAATTTTCCTCTATGATTTCTAACATTCATCTATTGGTACGTTGATGAATAATTCCTTCAAGTCAAAACTCACTATATCATATTTTATATTTTCATCTAGTTTTAATTTATTTAATTTTTATTTTTCTTCAATTGAATTTATTACGTTGAAATTCATATCGCAGTTTAAATTCATTATTGCATGCTTAAAAAATTTTGATAAATTATCATTAGGTCTATTAATGTTATTGACTGTCGGTCTAATGTCTTTATTTTGTTTATGTAGTTTTATGAGTTTATTCCGTGTATTCTCAGTTCAATATAATTGTTACTAGCCTATTTGTTTTTAGTATATTTATCTATATATCGGTATTTTAATAATTTATTTGCATACGTATTGATTTTTTCTGGTAATTCTACACTCAGATTGGTTCTCATCTTTTTTTTTTTACCGTTTTACTATCTAATAATGTTTCCATTTTCAATGTATAATAATTTCTATTCATGATCACTAATTTTTTAGTCTTGTCCGATTTTATCACTATTATTTCTTTATTTATCTTTAGAAAATCCCTAAAACACTTTAAATCATTTGGTTATTCAACATCAACATTTTCTGATGATTTTTAAATGTTCATATATATTCATTAATAACATTACATATGTGATTTCTGGTACCGTTAATATGGCATTCTATTTAAGGGAGATGGTGACAAGGAATATATTTATTCGGTGACAATTGGTGTACTACAAATAGTAGTTTCTGAAATTAGTATATAAAAAAATGTTTTGCTAAGTGTTATTTGTAGATGACTTGATAATGAGCTAATCAGCTTAAAACGTTTGAAGTAAAATAAAAAATTATTGAAAGTCTAAGGGCTTATATATTCTTTGAAGACACCATATATAAGAAGAATGAGTGCCCTTAAAAATACTACTGAAGTAGCTAAATAGTTGAATATTTTATATAGAAATTATATGAACAATATAGAATATAGACAAAGTGTTGTTAGTCTTGGTATAGAGAAATATATGTAAGTTTTCAGGGAAGTTTGTCTAGTATTTTGGTGAATATCCATTCTCGATAATTTGTTTTTAATTGAATAATTATTGAGTGGACTAAAAAAGAATTTCAGAAGAAAATAAAATCACCATTAATGGCAGTCAATGCTTATTACTTGGCTTCCACAAAATTAATTCACAAAGGGTTTGTGAAATATCTTCTTTTTTTTTAATAGATTATTTGGCTTGAAAGATGTGTCAGCAAAAAGATTATGACATAGATAACATATGGTCTATAGCATTACATAAGTTTCCATCGTATAAATATAAATGAATTAATAGCTTTTTACTCAATTCTTTTATCGTGTCTTGAATATGTTGTAATTGGGGAGTGAGGTAGTTCAATGAATAAGACACTGTGCTACTATGATCAGACTCCTAGTTCAAGTGTGTCTGTAATTTATTATTTACTATGTTGTGGAAGACTTCCTGGGGCATATGCTTCCTCTATAAATAAGTAACTAAGAAGATAATCATGGTGGTTGAAGTGGTGATCCTGGTGAACTCACTTCTGGCACATGTGTTGACCAAGAATTGTGGGCGGGATGGCCGAACGGACTAACGTGTGTGCACAGCACCGCCGTTGCCAGGCAATCTGATAAATGAGACAATTGATATAAAATAGTCATGAATTCTCATCCCGATGCCAGGGAGTTTTAAATCCCCCTGGCCCGGGAAAACCCTTTGTAGCCTTAAAGGCAGGGAAGGGGGAGACCAAAAAAAAAAAAAAAGGTGTTGACCAATAAATAGTACTTATGAAGTACTAAAGCCAGGGCTCAGGAGTTATGGTGGAACTTTTAGGTTTTAATGGGGTTCAAAAGATGGAAGAATGTGAGAAATTTATATTTTTACATTATGATTGGTAATATTTCAGGTTTCAGAACTAGAGGAAGTTCACTGTCTGGATTTTATACATTTGAATTTCTTTTTATAAGAATACAATCCTCTCTGTGCTTAATTGGCTACCACTATAAAAAATTATTTTAAGTTAGGAAACAAAAAAGGTAATGCATTTTTATTTTAGTAATTTATTTTTCATCATTTTCTTATGCACAAGGACTTTTGGAAAACCTAGTGTACATACTCACTTTCAAATCTCTATTTGTATGAAGAGCCCAGAAACTGGAGTTACCAATCAAATAGACTAATGAAGTTATGGCAGTTTTTATTGCTTACTGTTGATATGATAAATTCACAAATATGTTCTTTAAGATTTAGGTAGCTTAATTAAAATACATTTAAAAAAGTTTTTGTTGACAGCCCAATTTTGACAGACAATAATTTCTGTTCATAGTGCAGGGATAAATGAAAGAGTCCGATATACAAACCAGAGGCTATCTCATTAAATTTTATTTTTGTATGAATCTTTATGATCTATTATGATTATTACTTATTGTCCAGGTTTTTGGCAGATTCTAATATTTAAACTGGTTTAGGGGAAAAAATAAATAAAAGCGT